GATGGTAGAGGGGAACATGACAGAGGGATGGTAGAGGGAACATGACAGAGGGATGGTAGAGGGAACATGACAGAGGGATGGTAGAGGGGAACATGGCAGAGGGATGGTAGAGGGGAACATGGCAGAGGAATGGTAGAGGGGAACATGACAGAGGGATGGTAGAGGGGAACGTGACAGAGGGATGGTAGAGGGGAACATGACAGAGGGATGGAGGGGAACATGGCAGAGGGATGGTAGAGGGGAACATGACAGAGGGATGGTGGAGGGAACATGACAGAGGGATGGTAGAGGGGACATGACAGAGGGATGGTAGAGGGGAACATGACAGAGGGATGGTAGAGGGAACATGACAGAGGGATGGTAGAGGGAACATGACAGAGGGATGGTAGAGGGGAACATGACAGAGGGATGGAGGGAAACATGGCAGAGGGATGGTAGAGGGGAACATGACAGAGGGATGGTGGAGGGAACATGACAGAGGGATGGTAGAGGGGACATGACTGAGGGATGGTAGAGGGGAACATGACAGAGGGATGGTAGAGGGAACATGGCCAAGGGATGGTAGAGGGAACATGACAGAGGGATGGTAGAGGGGACATGGCCGAGGGATGGTAGAGGGGAACATGGCCGAGGGATGGTAGAGGGGAACATGGCTGAGGGATGGTAGAGGGGAACATGGCTGAGGGATGGTAGAGCACTCTTCTAGGCCGGGCCGCTCTCACTTGTCGGGTCCTTACAGGTGCTGTCAGTTTGTGTTGAGGAAGATAATATTGTGAATTATGCAACCAACGTGCTTCAGAATCCAGACCTTGGTCTGCGTTTGGCCATTCGTAGTAACCTGGCTGGGGCAGAGAAGTTGTTTGCGAGAAAATTCAGTACCCTCTTTGCACAGGGCAGCTATGCTGAAGCCGCCAAAGTTGCAGCGTCTGCACCAAAGGTGATAAACCTTGAATACTGTTCAAGTGTTCTGAGTGTTAAGAACCAACCTTGAGAGGAAAATAAGTCATAAAAGCATTTCACTACTGGTATTGCAGTCTATTAGTGTTATGTTAGGAGTTTTTAGTTTAAAATTTTTGCACCAATGGCTTAACAGTAAGGGAAGTAAACAAAAAGCACACTCTTGCTGCATCAGCACTTCTTCCTGTCTCCCACTTTGTGTGCATACATACCTCTCACCCAACGGCTTGGGTACAGTTTCACATTTTCGCAACTCAGAATTTTCCACTCTTGCTGCCTGGTTGTCAAATATGCAACTGTACAGTACACCAAGTGGTTGATCCCTGTTTTATTTAGCAATAGTCCTGCTCTGGACTTCCTCCACTCTTTCAGAATATAGCATTTCTGCATAAGGCTTTTTCTTTAGTTTATTTCATTTGGATAAATTGTTCAGAGACTGGATCTGCTCCTGAGTAGATAAAGACTTTCAAGTTGCTGGTCCTTGAAAGAATTTTTCTTGTCTTTCAAGGGGTGGTTATGAACAAACCATTTCTAGCCTTCATCTGTGAATGTGAGTATTTTGAATTAGAATATAATGATAGCAGAACTTCACTACTACAAGACTGATTGAGAGGCTGAATTCTCACTGCAGCATGCTGGGGGAGAAGTAAGACCCTAAGTATGAAGCCACCTGGAGGACCTAGATTCCCCCATATTTATGGTTCTTATTGAAGATAGAAGCAGTTGCCTTAGTAGAGGACATTTTGTCCATGACACAGCAGTGTGGAATTTCCACTGGCAGATTTTTGTTTTTACATAGAAGCAAGTTGAGTGAAGGGATCCCCCATGATTACAACACAATGACCTATTTTTCCATTTATTACTAGGGAATCCTGCGTACCAGAGAGACGGTCCAGAAATTCCAGAGTATACCCGCTCATCCTGGCCAGGCTTCTCCATTGCTGCAGTACTTTGGAATCCTGCTCGACCAGGGTCAGCTCAATAAACTTGAATCCCTAGAACTTTGCCATCTGGTTCTTCAGCAGGGGCGTAAGCAACTCCTAGAGAAGTGGCTGAAAGAAGATAAGGTAGAAACACTTGTGAGATGGTAGCCCCCCGCACAGCTTGGTCCAGGCTCCCTGCCCACCTCCTAACTTTGCCTTGTCCCTTGGCGTACCACAGCTGGAGTGCTCAGAGGAGCTCGGAGACTTGGTCAAAACCACTGACCCCATGCTCGCTCTGAGTGTGTACCTTCGGGCAAACGTGCCAAGCAAAGTGATCCAGTGTTTTGCAGAAACAGGCCAATTCCAGAAAATTGTACTCTATGCCAAAAAGGTAACGTGTGTTGAACCATCTGCATCCCACTCAACATGTGGTTGAGTGGTTGCTGATTTAAAGTTTATAAAATACCCTTCTTTATAAGTCCTCTGGTGTGAGAGTTGGCAGTGTTGCTATTAGGATCTTTATTGATATTGATCATATTGCATTTTCTTCAGTTTTTTATTTTCCTTAGTTTTCCAGTCCTTCCATCTTCTTTTTATTTGGGAGCTTTATCTTGTTTTTTCTCTCCCTCTCTTCCTTCTGTATGTTAATTTGATATTTTGGCAGACTTCCAGATCTTGTCCCTGTGTGCTCACTGGCAGGCTGTGTTTGCACACAGATCAGGGAACTTATTTGTGGTCTGGGCTGTTTGTATAGTTAATTGTGCCTTCCATGGACATGAAATCAATTTATTTCATTGGATATTGTGTTTGGCAGAAGGTGGTACCTACAAATGATAATGTTGCTGCTCATTTCTTTGTTAACGTGAGTTTAAAACAAAGGATAGATAACTTCATTTTCTAATGCCCAGGGTTTTTCATTGATTTTCCTGATTGGTGCTCCCTTGCTTCTAGGTTGGGTACACCCCAGACTGGATCGTTCTGCTGAGGAGTGTAATGAAGATCAGTCCGGAACAGGGCCTGCAGTTTTCTCAAATGCTAGTGCAGGACGAGGAGCCACTGGCTGACATTAACCAGGTGAGCATAGGCAGTTTTGGACAACTTTTTGTGGCTTTTTAGAGCCATCTAGAAGATTCTTTTATTCATTTCCTGTTAACTTGTCTCAATGCTTTTCTTCATCTGCTATTAATCTTCCAGTTTTAAAAAATCTAGTGTACTTGGGGAGTTTGTCTTCTAGTCTTTACTATGTGAGTACTCATTGCTTCCTTTGTTTTGAAGTACTTTAGAGAATGTTTGCGTGGGTTTGTGTCTTTGGGTGGTGATGGTGTAGGGTGTGAGGATGTCATTTAGGATCCAGCCCTCCATCCCTCTCCCCACCCCAGTTACCACATCATTGTCTCTCCCTGACCATTGGCCTGAGCACCAGGAGCTAGTGCTGTTGCATCCCCCAAATGTTCATCCTGTGGGTGTCTGACTGACCTGGATCTACGTGAGCATCAGCCTGTTTTTTAGTGTAACCTACTTAGAATTTAGATGTAAACACATGACAAGTCACTTTCAGTCAATTGGTACAAGGAACTCTGATGATATATAGATGTGTAACAAAGCTTGAAGCAAGGCATCAGGGCCAACAACTGTTCAGAAATAATAAGTGCAGTTATATGTGTTTATATGTCTGGGAATTTGCAGGTATTTTGGAGAACATGAATAAGAGATTTGAGACAAATTTACTTAGCTTTCAATAGGAAAGAAATTTCCAGTTCACATCTTGTTTCTAGTTCATATTTTAAAGTTGTTTAAAATATAAACTTCTCATACTTTATGAGAAGTTCTACAATTAGTAAGTTCTTTTTTATTTTCCTGTAAAGCTGTCCTTCAAAAACAATTACTAAATTTATTCCTATATTTCACATCTTAGTGAGGCATATTAATTATTTAAATTAACATCAATTTAACTTTAATAATTGTCTAAGTAAATGTTTGCATTTTCCCAGTTGTGCCCCAATAATATAATGATATATATGGGTTAAATATCATGTATCAGCTGCTTTGTTAGTCAAGATTCTGCAGAGACAGAATCAGCAGCGTAACTCTAGCTATATGAGAGGGAGCCTGGGCAACATAGTGAGACCCCATCTGTACCAAAAATTTTTTAAAACTTAGCCAGGCGTGGTGGTGCACACCTGTGGTCCCAGCTACTCAGGAGGCCGAGATGGGAGGATCGCTTGAGCCTTGAAGGTTGAGCCTGCAGTGAGTGGTGACCTTGTCACTGCTTTAGCCTAGGCAATAGAGTGAGAACCCATCTCAGATATATGAGGGAGAATTGGCTCGTGATTATGGAGGCTGAGAAGTCCTGTGATAGACTGTCTGCAAGCTAGAGGAGACGTTGGATTCCGGTAGCGTGGCTCAATCTAAGTTTGAAAGTCTCAGAACCAGGGAAGCCGATGACGTAACTCTCAGTCTGAGGCCAATGGCCTGAGAACCCTGGGGGGCCTTTGGGGTAAGTCCTGGAGTCCAAAGGCTGGGAAGCCTGGAGTTCTGATGTCCAGAGGTAGGAGGAGGAGAAAGTCCCAGCTCCAGGAGAAAGAGAGAAGAAATCTATTCTTTCCTTTTTTGTGCCCCCAGCTGATTGGATGGTGCTCCCTGACATTGAGAGTGGATCATTCCTACTTGGTCCCCCAACTCACATGCCAGTCTTCTCTGGGAACGCCCTCACAAACACACCCAGAAGGAATGCTTTACCTGTTCACTATGTGTTCCTTAATCCAGTCAAACTGACACCTAAAGCTAAGCATCACAGCTGCCTCTAGGATGTGATTAAGTAATGTATGATTACTGCTTGGATCACTTGAGTAGATTCTGGGGGTTCATATGTTATAAAAATCACTCCCTTTCATATACTTCGGTAAAATACCTCACTGATAGGTGTGATGTAGGTGATATGATTTCACAAGATTATCAATAAATTAATGGCCATAAATTACGTGAATTGTGTTGTTGTTGTTGTTGAGATGAGGTCTCTGTGTTACCCAGAATAGTCTTAACTCCTGGGCTCAAGGAATGCATGCATCCACCACAACCCCCTGAGTAGCTGGGACTATAGGCACATGCCACCACACCTGGCTCTATGTGAATTGTGATGACATAAGAAAATGCAAAGGGGCCAGGAGCAGTGGCTCACGCCTGTAGTCCCAGCACTTTGGGAGGCCAAGGCGGGCGGATCACCTGTCAGGAGTTGGAGACCAGCCTGACCAACATGGTGAAACCCTGTCTCTACTAAAAATACAAAAATTAGCTGGGTGTAGTGACAGGTGCCTGTAATCTCAACCACTTGGGAGGCTGAGGCAGGAGAATCGCTTGAACCCAGGAGGTGGAGGACGGAGGTTGGAGTGAGCTGAGATTGTGCCTTTGCACTCCAACCTGGGTGACAGAGTGAGACTCCATCTCAAAAACAAAACAAAACAAAAAACAAAGGAAGGAACTAATTGTTGAATTTCTAAATGAGATAATGAGATAATATTTCAGGAACTATTTCAATACGAAAATGAAACACTGTGAATGAAAACACACTGAGTGAAAATGTGGCTTGGATATGTTTCAGATTGTGGACATTTTCATGGAAAACAGTTTAATTCAGCAGTGTACTTCCTTCTTATTGGATGCCTTGAAGAATAATCGCCCAGCTGAGGGACTCCTCCAGACATGGCTGTTGGAGATGAACCTTGTTCATGCACCCCAGGTCAGTGACATTGTAGGCTAACACCGAGAGGCAGAGCACCTGTGGCACCCCTCTGTGGGTTTGCAGACTTGAGCACAGTGGCTTTGGACTGGACTGGGCTTGTGCCAGATGTTTATCTTGTACTTCTCAGTGAACATTCCCCATGACTCCCCTTAAAAGGATTTTCCAGAAATCATGGTACAGGACTTTCATGGAAACAGTTATAATTGGGGCATCGTTTCTTTCTTTCTTCTTTTTTTCATTGTGGTAAAATATACATAACCAAATTTACCATTTTAACAACTTTTAAGTGTCTGATACAGTGGCATTAAGAACATTCACAATACTGTGCAACCGTTACCACTATATGGTTCCAGAACTTTTTATTATCCCAGAGTAACTATGTAACTGTTAAGCAATGACTCCTCATTTCCCAGCCCCTGACAACTGCCATTCTAATCTGTCTCTATTAATTTGCCTTTTCAAGATATTTCATATACATGGAACCACAAAATATTTGTCCTTTTACCTGGCTTTTTTCACTTAGCATATTATTTTCAAGGTTCATCCACGTTGTAGCATGTGTTAGAAACACCTTCATTTTAAAAACTGAGTAATTGTCCACCATGTGTATATATGACTTGTGTTTATCCATTCATCCATTGATGAACATTTGGGTTGCTTCTACCTTTAGGCTATTGTGAATAATGCTGCTGTTCACATGGGTGTACAAAGATTTCTTTGAGACCCTGCTTTAATTCTTTTGGGCATATACCTAGAAGTGGATTTGCTGGATCATATTGTATATTAATTCTATGCTTACCTTTTTGAGGAACCACCATACTGTGTTCCAGGAGGCTGCACCATTTTATATTCTTCCCAGCAATGCTCAGCAGTTCCAACTTCTGTATATCCTTGCCAACACATTTTCCCTGTCTAAAATAATAATAATAGTAATCATCTTAATGGGTGTGCAGTGGTATTGTGGTGAGGCATCATTTGTTGGCCTGAAACTTGTGGGAGGAAGGTATAATCAAATCACATGTCTGTGCTATTTTGGGTTAAATTTAGATATATATACAAGAAAGGGATTTAGAGGAGTTTGTATCAAGCTGTTCACGGTACTAAGTGGATAAGATTGTACAAGTTCACTTTGTTCTTTACTTCTCTCTTCTTTTTTGTTTTTTCTTTAATAATCACTTATTGTTTTTATAATTATAAAACAACATATTAAGTATATTGTTCTGTTACCTCAATTTATTCAAATCCACAGGTTAGCTGCTAAGAAGTGGGTCATATTCCAACTATAGGAAATTAAAGTGCTGTTAATTTGCTGCTTGGGGTCTATTGGACTCTCATGACTTTGTGAGTGTCTGTAATAGTTTTTGGTGAATGAGATTTGAAACACACCAAGCGCCACTCAGAAACTTGGCAGACACCCAAAGGAATGCCCAGACCTTAAGGGGTGCAGGACAAGCAAGTAGTTGGGTGAGGTGCCAGCAGGCTCTGGCTTAGTGCCCCAGGATGCTGGCAGTCTTCTCTGGGCAGTGGGACTGCATGATGGTTTCTAAGTTCTCTAAAATACACTGTTGCTATGATGAGAAAATGTTTAAAAACAAGTAGTAAAGATAACCCTGAAGGAAACAAAGGATAGGAGACTCAGGTAAGTGCTAGGTGTTCTAAAGCCCTACTCTTAGTACTTGGTTTGGATCATCAACTCTATGGGGAACCAGAAGTGTGCATCACTCTGAAGTCGTCTGGTGTGTGACAGGGGCTGTGGTCACTCAGTTTGGCCATACCTGGTTGGTGATGCAGATCCTTGAAGGAATAAGAAAGAGTGTGCTGGGTGGCAGGGAAGGCACCCAGGAGCGTAGCTAGTCAAGACCAGCATTAGATACTGAGCGAGCACTCATTCAGCCATGCTGCAAGGCTACTGTGTTGACCTATCTAGTCTTAGTCCAAAAATTACTTACTTAAAGAGAATATTTAGTGGCTGGGTGCAGTGGCTCGTGCTGTAACCCCAGCATTTTTGAAGGCCAAGGTGAACAGAGCCCAGGAGTTTGAGACCAGCATGGACAACATGGCCAAACCCCATCTCTACAAAAAAATATAAAAATTAGTCGGGTGGGCCAGGCATGGTGGCTCACACCTGTAATCCAAGCACTTTGGGAGGCCAAGGCGGGAGGATCACGTGGTCAAGAGATCGAGGCCAGCCTGGCCAGCATGGTGAAACCCTGTCTTTACTAAAAATACAAAAATTAGCTAGGCATGATGGCGCGTGCCTGCAGTCCCAGCTACTTGGGAGGCTGAGGCAGGAGAATGGGGTGAACCCAGGAGGTAGAGGTTGCAGTGAGCTGGGTGGGATCGTGCCACTGCACTCCAGCCTGGCAACAGAGTGAGACTCCATCTCAAAAAAAAAAAAAAAGAAAAAAAACCCAAGTAGCCAGCTGTGGCGGCATGCGCCTGTAATCCCAGTTGCTTGGGAGGCTGAAGTGGGAGGATTGCTTGAGCCTGGGAGGTCAAGGCTGCAGTGAGCCGAGATTGCACCACTGCACTCCATTCAGCCTGGGCAACAGAGTGAGACCCTGTCTCAAAAAAAAAATATATATATATATATATTTTATGCCTCATAAAAATTGTTTTCAGAAGTGTTCATTGTTTTTTAAATGCAATCCCCAATTCGTAAGTCTGTATTGAGCCTAGTAGAGCAGTCTAGTAAGCACAAATCGGATTTGTTATGTTCAGGTCTCCTTCTGGCCATTGCTAGTCTAAGGCTTGAGCTCATTCAAGGAGAATCGGTAGACTTGAGCCCTCACGTTGATCTTGCCATAGAAACCCTATAAGAATGTGATTGCTGGCTGGGCGCGGTGGCTCACGGCTATAATCTCAGCACTTTAGGAGGCCAAGGTGGGCAGATCGTTTGAGGTCCAGAGTTCAAGACCAGCCTGGCCAACGTGTTGAAGCTCTGTCTCTACTAAAAATGCAAAAATTAGCCAGGCATGATGATGCGCATCTATAATCCCAGCTACTTGGGAGGCTGAGACATGAGAATCGCTTGAACCCGGGAGATGGAGGTTGCAGTGAGCCAAGATTCTGCCACTGTACTCCAGCCTAAATGATGGATTGAGACTCTGTCTCAAAAAAAAAAAAGAAAGAAAGAAAAAAAAAAGAATGTGATTGCTTAAAAGCTGCAACAGCGACTTGGACTCATCCCAGTAATAGGGCTTTATGGAGCCTCAGCGTTTCTCACAGGCCCAACTCTGTGACCACATGGGGTGGGCCCAGCTCTACAATATGGGAGGATGGAGCCTTGTGCAAAGGGCCTAAGATGACTTGAAGGACAGCTGGGGATCTTGGGACCCACAAGCACTGCTGCCACCACAGAGTTGTGGGTGTGGACAGGGGCCTGTGAGTTCGGGTTGCCAGGCTTTACCCTACCCTGGGGCAAGGCTGAGCAGCTGGTCTTAAAAAGTTATTGCCATTGATCAGGCTTTCCCACCAAACTCCCTGTTTCATAGGTTGCAGATGCCATCCTTGGAAATAAGATGTTTACTCATTACGACCGGGCCCACATCGCCCAGCTCTGTGAAAAGGCAGGCCTCCTGCAGCAAGCACTGGAGCACTACACCAACCTCTATGACATCAAGAGGGCTGTGGTCCACACTCACCTCCTCAATCCCGAGGTATTGTGTGCCACTGTGGCACTCCTATTATGGCTGTTGTCTATGCCATTAATGTCACATGCTCCCCAATGTTCACCTGTTGATGATTGTGGAACCATGGCCTGAGCCTGTCACTGCCCTAACCTACCATACTTTACTACCAAAAGCACTTCTGGTTCAGCACACGCACAATGTTTATCTGCTCAGCAGCATGTCTGGGCCCTGTAGTACCTTTCTTTCTGATGTCCACCTTTGACTTAGTCTAATAGCAGGAATACTGGTCACCTTTTAACACTGACAACCTAACAGGGCTGTCTGAAACCATTAGCAAAGCTGAACTAGCTATTGTGTTCCAACTTATGGAATAAGTTTTAGCATTGTCTGTGGAATATTGCAGGTGAACTGTTTAGATCAGTGTCTTTTCCCAGCTTTATTCCTTGCTCCTACTTTTTCCCATGATGGATAGTTGCTTTTCAATCCCTTTATGTGGAAATTCTCTATTTTTGACACTCAGGGGAACAGGAGAATGACCTAGTTATTTTCCAAGTGTTAACAATCTTTGTAGTGGTGCATTGTTGTGGACAGACTCTTCCTTGTTCCCAGTGGCTTGTCAATTTCTTCGGCTCCTTGTCGGTGGAGGATTCTGTGGAGTGTCTGCGTGCCATGCTGTCTGCTAACATCAGACAGAACCTTCAGCTGTGTGTGCAGGTGGCCTCTAAGTACCATGAGCAGCTGGGCACGCAGGCCCTGGTGGAACTCTTTGAATCCTTCAAGAGTTATGAAGGTAAACCGTGCAGCCTTTCGCCGACCCCGCCACGTGACTACACCTCCTTTCTCAGGTGTTGCGGTCCACCTGCCCGACTTAAAACGACCTTCCTGCAAAGCCAGGCAGGATTCAGCACTCGCTGCCTTGGGTGCTCAGTCAGTGGCAGAATGCGACTGCCATCTCATGTGCACCCTCAGCTTCAGTGTCCTTTTTGGTATTTCCAAAGGAAGAAATCAGGTTGGTTTGTGATGGAGTGGAGAAACTTATGGAGCCCGGTGTGTCTGTGCAGCACAGTCTGGCAGGAATTCATCTAAAAGCCTGTGTCATGGGTACCATGAAAGGGCCTGATGTCTGGTCTTCACAGCCCCAGGAGGGAGGCTCTTTGGGCCTCTCCTAAGTGAGAGCCCACGATAGAGGGTGCATTGCTTTGTAGTATCTGCTAACCCAGTTGATAGCAGGGGCTGACGAGGCAACTTGGTTGTCTTCCTTTCCCCTTTTTGGACATCACCCCAAAAGAGTGTTCTAGGGCAATGGGGGTGGGAGTAGCTTTGTTAGGGACAGGTGGGGGCTGTCTGGCCCACCCAGGATAGAGACTAAGCATTTGTCTAGGCATCAAGCCACTGCCATGTGTCCGGTGAGGTTGGGGCATCGGTGGAGGGTAGGACAGGACCCTACCCTCAGGGACCTGGCCTTCTCTTCAGAAGACAACACTGTAGGAAAGACCATGGCGGACGATTGAGTGGAGCTGGGCTGGGAGAGAGCAGTAGGGTAGGTTGGTGGGGAACCATCGGCCTAGGGGCTGCCCATTCCCTTCCTAGCATCAGAGTCTCACAGTTACAGTGAAAGACCTCGACAGGCGGGGGCCTTCTCGGATGTACCTATCTTGTCGTTACTGTCCAGAGTTGCAGGCCTCCTCCTGGAGGCCGTGGCTTATTTCTCTCTCCCTTGGCATCAGTCCCACAGCCCTCTCAGATTACCTCAGTGGGAATTACTCTTGACGACGACTATCTAGGTATACCTGGGCCCCCAAAAGGAATTTCACAAGTACCAAATATCTAGTATTTTACATCAAAACATGCCAGGTATGCCTGCCAAATTTGATGGAAATCTGACTAGCTATTTTTGGGAGCTGCCAAAACAGACAGATGGCATACTGATTATGAGTTCTGAGTGGGCTGTGGGTCCACTGGAGAGTGGAGCAGGGTGGGTCCCTGGAGAGTGGAGCAGGGTCATCGAGGGAAGGTGGACAGCAGCTACGGAGGAGACCAGGTGGGTGTTGCAAGGACAAAAATGAAACAGTCTCTCTTCATAGGCCTCTTCTACTTCCTGGGCTCAATCGTGAACTTCAGCCAAGACCCAGACGTGCATCTGAAATACATTCAGGCTGCCTGTAAGACAGGGCAGATCAAGGAGGTGGAGAGGATATGCCGAGAGAGCAGCTGCTACAACCCAGAGCGTGTGAAGAACTTCCTGAAGGTGTGTTCCAGCACTGCCTCCTTGTGTTCCACAGCTGAATTGCTGATGGCAGGTGGGGCAGACCATCCGCAGGACGTCCCAGGAGGCAGGAAGCTGGATCTGTCTCGCCAGGGACCCCTTAGTCCCAGGGACAGAGCTCCGCCTTATGGCTTAAAGTTCTAGAGGAACCCTTCTATCGTTTTAAGAACGTGGAATGCAGCTTGAGGCTGTGCTCTAAGTATCTGGCACGTGAGTGGAGGGAGTTAGTTTATTGCTGCATTGTAATTCATCAACATCCCATTAGTGCCATTGTCAATTAAGCAGGCAAAGCTGCAGAAGCAAGTAGACCACTCAGCACTAGTGTCATAAAGAACAGGAAGCCTGCTTCCTTATGTGGCAGTCCTGGGTGGGCTGGAGGTCAGTGGGGTGGCTTTCCTTCCCACTGTCCTTCAAGGACCAGGCTCATGGCTGCTTTGCGGTGTTCAGCACCTCACCTGGATGTCGTCTTCCCAGTCAGCTAGAAGACGGGAAGAGCACAGAGGAACCAGCATGGATGGTTTTTATGGGCGAGGCCTGCAAGTGGCAGATGAGACTTGGATTCACGTCCCCTTGGAGGGAATGAGGTCATGTGGCCACACTTAAAACTTCAAGGGAAACCAGGAAATGTGATCTAGGCATGGGACCACACAAGGGGGAGGCATGATTGTGGTGACCTGTGGCTGTCCTACCCAAGTGCCATCATCATCTGGGAATGGTGCCCAGGTGTGTTTCCATGGCCTGCGGCTGCATGTCTGAAAAGGCAGCCTTTACTGCAGGTGTGCTGTTCTTGAGAATGGCCTGGTTTCTGTTGGGTTTGCACGTAATGAGCTGCTTGTCTTAAAAGATATTTTTGTCCAGATTTGGAATGTTAATGCCACATTTAACGGTCTTTAACCAAATACTATTATCTTTCACTTATTTCCAAAGCAAACACCATACCACAAAACGACAGCCTATCTAGAGCAGTCTCATTCTGAGTCTCCTGCATGTCACTCTGCTGCAGAGAGAGTGCTGTCCCATATGGGCAATGAGTCCGAGGTCTGGCTGTCTGGTTTCTCCACTCCCTGACTTGTTCTGTGCATTCTAATCCTCAGGAGGCCAAGCTCACAGACCAGCTTCCCCTCATCATCGTGTGCGATCGTTTTGGCTTTGTCCATGACCTTGTCCTGTATTTATACCACAACAACCTGCAGAGGTACATTGAGATCTACGTGCAGAAGGTACTGCTGGCTCCCTGGAGTGACCCACAGCTGCCTCTGGGCCCCAGTCAGTGACAATAGTCTTCACCTCAGAGGCTGCCTCTAACATCTGGCATTTCAGAGACTATCATTTTGAAGGGTGGTGGGTTAGTGTGCTCAGACTGCCAGAGTAGAAGAACACAATCCAGGCGACTGAAACAACACACATTTATTTCTCACAGTTTTGGAGGCTGGAAGTCCACGATCAAGGTGCTGGCAGGGCTGGTTTCTGGTGAAGGCCGTCTTCCAGGCTTGCAGACGGCCTCCTGGCTGTGCCCCCACAGGGCCTTTCCTCTGTGCATATACATTCCTGGTGTCTCTCCCTCTTCTTAGAAGGACATCAGTCCCATTGCATTAGGGCCGCACCATTGGCATTGATTACCTCCTTAAACACCCTCTTTCCATATAGAGTCCCACTAGGGGTTAGGACATCAGCAAGTGAATTTTGGTGGGACACAGCGCAGTGCTAAACAGGAGCCCTTTCAGGGTTTTGCCTAGACTGTCCAAGTTGTAGGAGGCTTCTAACAATAACTTGTGTCTGCAACACTGAAGTTACTTCACCTTGACTACCGTAGGTCAACCCTAGCCGGACCCCAGCTGTGGTTGGAGGGCTGCTTGATGTGGATTGTTCTGAGGAAGTGATTAAACACTTAATCATGGCAGTGAGAGGACAGTTCTCTACTGACGAGTTGGTGGCTGAAGTAGAAAAAAGAAATAGGTAAGGTGTCCTTACTTGGTGTTTTGTCTTACCCCTGGATTCTAGTGTCTGTTGTTGTTTCTGTCTAATTCTCCAGGACTGTCACTTTAGCTGATCATTCATGTGCACATCTTAGATGTAGCAGTGAGTTATTTGCTATTGGTACTGTGAATACCTTGGGGGAAAACCTAACAGTAGAAATCAGTTTGGAAATCAGGTCCATCTTCGTCCCTAGAGCAACCTGAAGTTAATGTACTCCGAGATTTTTTGTTTCAGGAAACATCTGTCAGAGCCCTGGAATTGTCCTCAAGACTTCCAGTGGTAGCCTTGAGACTTCACGGTGCCTTCCTTCTTTCAAAGGCTCAAGCTGCTGCTTCCCTGGCTAGAGTCCCGGATTCAGGAAGGCTGCAAGGAGCCTGCCACTCACAATGCACTGGCTAAAATCTACATTGACAGCAACAACAGCCCCGAGTGCTTCCTGAGAGAGAATGCCTACTATGACAGCAGCGTGGTGGGCCGCTACTGTGAGAAGCGAGACCCCCATCTGGCCTGTGTCGCCTATGAGCGGGGGCAGTGTGACCTTGAGCTCATCCAGGTGGGTAGCAGATGTGCTGAGCTGCCCATGCAACCCTGGCCTCCCAGGAAAGCTTTCAAAGGTGTGCCCGTGGGGAGCTGATCAGGGCTTTCTGTGCACCTGGAGATGGCAGGTCATGAGATTATTTCCTTGTGATTCTCGCAGCTTTTGGGAACTTGCTCATGCGATTTGTATGCATTGTACCTGTAGACCAAGTGGCCATGAACCTGACTTATCATCCCTCTGCTTATGGTCCTTACTGTTGCCTGGTAATTTGAAGGCAGAATTGAACTCCTTGGCCTGACTCGTGAGCTCCTCTGTGGACTGCCACCTTCCCCCAACTCCCCAACTTGATCAACCACCCATCTTGCCAACCCACCTGGAGGGGCCTGCAGTTCCCTGGGTGCCTCATGTCCTGACTGCCCTTGTACTTCATGCCCCCTTTTTGGGATAACCCTCTACACAAGCCTTTCCCCACCACCTGACCGGTGAGCTCTTGCTGGCCCCTTCTTGAGACATCTGCCCAGGTCTTTTGCCTACATCTGCCCAGGCTTGGATCCACATATAATTACATGCTTAGGTTGAATTGTATGAACTGTTCCTACCTAACCATTTGATCTAAAAATCCAGACATGAACAGAGCACCTATGAGGTTGGTACTGCACCAGCCTGCTCGGGCTTTTCCCATGATGCACAGGCAGCCTGCGCTGCATCTGCAAACACCTTTGCTTGCCACTCAGCCTTTGTGCCTGGCATCTGGCACTCAACAGATCTGATCCTCACCAGGATTTAGCAAGTGCTGCAAACGCTGGCACATTCCAGTGGGCTGATGGTGTTTTGAAGATCTGTTATAACATTCCGTAAAGGGTCTCCAGATCTGCTAGTGAAAGCACAGTTTGCAGTTTTTAGGTCTTGAAACATTGCAGTGTTTGTGCTGTTTTATACCAGTTCTAGGCTGTTCTGATAACATTTTACAGATGGCTTAGAGCTAGCTACATATGAGTACTTAAATTTAACCAAATTAAAAATTACCAGTTTAATTCCTGTCATGCACCACATTTCAAGGGCTCAGTAGCCTCCCGTGGCTAGTGGCTGTATCAGACAGAATGGGAGACAGAGCATGTCCCTGAATGCAGGAGGTCCTGTTGGCCAGAGATGTGGCACATCCCTAGGAGTTGTAAACTTGGAAAGGGCATTTGGAGGTAGTTTGAGTCCATTGTTAACCCTGTAGGATGCTGCTCATCCTGTGTCAAAGCACAGCGCCTTGCCTGGGCCCTGACGGTTCACTAAACCGGTATCAGGCACACAGGGAACGAATTGGGGTGTGTCCTCCCAAGCAGCTTCCATTGATTGACTGCTGTGTTACACACATGAGTATGCTCATTTCAGGTGTGCAATGAGAATTCTCTGTTCAAAAGCGAGGCCCGCTACCTGGTACACAGAAAGGATCCAGAGCTCTGGGCTCACGTCCTTGAGGAGACCAACCCATCCAGGAGACAGCTAATTGACCAGGTGAGGCACAGAGATGGGTATGTCTGTGCACCTGCATTTTGCCGTCTAATCATCGTTGTGGCTCAAGTGACTGGTTTCATTTTTCATTTAAAACATCTTGACCGAGTGCAGTTGCTCACGCCTGTAATCCCAGCACTTTGGGAGGCTGAGGCAGGTGGATTCCTTAAGGTCTCAGGAGTTCAAGACCAGCCTGGCCAACGTGGTGAAACCCTGTCTCTACTAAAAATACAAAAATTAGCTAGGCGTGGTGGCACACACCTGTAATCCCAGCTACTGGGAAGGCTGAGGCAGGAGAATCGCTTGAACCCAAGAGGTGGAAGTTGCAGTGAGCCGACATCGTACCACTGCACTCCAGCCTGGGCGACAGAGAGAGACTCCATCTCAAAAAAATAAATAGGCCAGGCATGGTGGCTTACGCCCGTAATCCTAGCACTTTGGGAGGCCTAGGCGGGTGGATCACTTGTGGTCAGGAGTTCAACACCAGCCTGGTCAACATAGTGAAACCCCATCTCTACTAAAAATACAAAAACACACTGTGTGGTGCATGCCTGTAATCCCAGTTACTCAGGAGGCTGAGGCAGGAGAATCGCTTGAACCCAGGGGGTGGAGGTTGCAGAAGCCGAGATCGCACGCCACGGCACTCCAGTCTAGGCAACTGGGTGAGACTTCATCTCAAAATAAATAAATAAATAAATAAATAAATAAAACATCTTAGCCCTTATGAACTTTCTCCCCTGCAGAAATAGTTTGCCTAAAATTAGCTTGATTCCCCAGGTGAGCTGACTTGGAATTGTTTACTGGCTGAGGGCATAGAGTTGGCCCTTGGATCCAAAGCAGGGATATGCAGCCCAGGAAGAGAGTACCTGGTGGCATGCCTGCATGCTGGGCCCAGCTCAGCCCCCGTGGACAGAGGTGAAGTAGCTTTCAAGGTTGTCTCAGCTGACTTCCCTGTGTTGAAAAACTCTTTATGCCCCTGTGACTATCCAGCACCTCCTGCAGAGTGCTGGAGCCAGGGGTCATTATTGGGTGTGGCCTGGCAGGTGGGAGTCTGCCTTGGCCTCTGGGAGGACTTCCCCCAGCCCTGTGGAAGAGCCTCCCCTCCAGTCACAGCCTCACAGACACTCACAGATAGTGCCTCTGCTGCCCTCAGCACTGTTCCTAGGTGCTGGGCATACTGTTCAGGGGTGGGGCAAGACCAATGTTGGAACAAAACCCTCATCCAACAAGTGGCTTCAGCCCTAAGAATAGGACCAGTTAAAACTCCCACCTCCCTCGTACACATTGCCAACCTGCTGGACCGGCGCTTTTGAAAGTCTTGAGGGGTGGATTTGACCTTTATCTCTACTGAATTTTATCCTCTCGTTTTCTGTCCACTGTTTCTCCAGCCTGTGCCACTACTTTTTTAAATAAACTTTTCATTTTGAAATACTTTGAGATTTATGGAAGGTCATGTTGTTTTGAATCTCTGTTTCAACTTTGGACTTACCCATCCAAATCTAATAAAAATACTAAACAACACAATATGCTACTAGGGATTTACATCCAAGTTCCCAGACATCAGACTTTTCTCCAGGTGTAGTCCAGCCACCTGGTACAGCTTGAAGGTGACTTCATGTTGGCACTGGGGAAGGGCAACTTTAACATTGCACCATACCAGAGCCACCAGGGGCCTCTTGTCTTCCTGTTTCTGGGTGGAGCTGCTGGTCTTTCGTTATCGCTGCTGTAATTGAATATCTGTAGCCACCTCCCGGTGGGAAATTCAACTGCAATGCTCCTCTAATCCAGAGCACATAATAACAGAGGGAGGCTGCTTTTAGTGTCTGGAGTGGAACCTCATTATGAAATGTTTACTGAGAGCAGTGTCCTGAGGCAACCTTAGGTGGGGCATCCTGTATTGACTCAAACAGATGGTAGAAATTTATTTTTGCCCTTAAAACAACCTGTCTATATTTACTTAAGTTGCCCCAAGTTTTTTTTTTTTTTTTTCTTTTTATGAGATAGAGTTTTGCTCGTTACCCAGGCTGGAGTGCAATGGCACGATCTCAGCTCACTGCAACCTCCGCCTCCCAGGTTCAAGCGATTCTCCTGCCTCAGCCTGCTGAGTAGCTGGGATTACAGGGACCTGCCACCATGCCCGGCAAATTTTTGTACTTTTAGTAGAGATGGGGTTTAACTGTGTTGTCCAGGCTGGTCTCGGACTCTTGACCTCAGGTGATCCGCCTGCCTCGGTCTCCCAAAGTGCTGGAATTAGGCGTGAGCCACCACACCCGGCCTCCAAGTTTTTCAAGAACTGACAGATGTCACTTTAGGAAGTGTACCTTCTCCTTTGGATGGACTTGTGCTGTGTCCTGGTGCCCCCTTTCCCTCAGGCATACCCTTTTGGTTCCTCAGCTGCTGGGAGAGCTCCTGTTCTCAAACTCTTCAGCCTCCTTGTTGTGGATATTACAAACTCCACAGAGGTAGAACTTTTGCATCTTATGGTACCATTGAGTTCACAAAGACCACCAGAAAGGTGGACTGGACTGACCTTGACCCTACGTTCCTTTAAGGCCCCTCAAGATTGCTATGTAAAAGTTCATGGTCAGTGGGCTGTGTTAGCCATGAAAGACCGTCCAGAGCTATCTCTTCCCTCTCATTGATACACGGCTGTTGACCACCCCTGAGGAGAACCAGAAACTTGGCAAAAATATTAGATCCTCGAAGTCACTGAAGGTGCCTGGTCCAAAGTGCAAAGAGAGCAGTGCTGGCATTCCAAACTGCTGTCACGTGGGAAATGTACTCTTTGGAAAACTGTCTTTCCACCCTATTTGTAAGTGTTTTTGTATGTGAGACACCTATAATTGGATGAGGGGTGGCACAGCCAGTCTTTTGTTGGTCTTTCCTTCAGCTTGTGGTTCTGAGTGGGATCCGGTGTGAAGGCACCTGACTCCACAGCTCTGGCTATGGACTGTGCCACAGCAGTGGCAGTGCTCTTTGCTCGTAAGAGGCTGCTGGAAGCCCCTGCAGTGTCTTCAATAGAGAAGTGGAGCCATATTTGCTATTAGTGGCTTTAAAAGACAAATCTAAAAGGAGACATTCATTTAAAAATGCCTAGTGCACTGGTCATTGGAGCAGAGTAAGAGTCTGTAGCTCATTTGATATGAGAGAAAAACTAATTGTCAAAATAGAGCAAACTGAGAATTTCCTGAAATTGACTTTGAAAACCCTTCCTTTGTTACCTTAAGAAGTCTCCCATTTTCTCTGTCTGTTCCACACCATCTTGGAGGAGTCCTTCCCTTCTATTTAGCTTCAAAGATTCAGTCTTGAATTGACTAATCAAGTTCTTTCAAATGCTTTTTAAAACCAGGTAGTACAGACAGCATTGTCAGAAACACGGGATCCTGAAGAGATTTCGGTCACTGTCAAAGCCTTTATGACAGCCGACCTGCCTAATGAACTGATTGAACTGCTGGAGAAGATAGTTCTGGATAACTCTGTCTTCAGTGAGCACAGGTGAGGCTATGCCAGGGGTAGCTATGGACACAGGCAGATTCAAACATCTGTTTGATACTTACCTTCTGTTACAATCTCGTACCACTTTACCCATCCAGCCTGCCCACTGGCTGCTCCCCAGACATGCCAATCTTCCTACCACCTCCTCTATCTCAGTGTAGTCCTTCCCTTATTAGCTCCTGCCTGTCTCAGAGCCCAGCCTCAGTTTCACATTTTCCAGGAGGCTGCACTCCTCTTACTGCTCTGGCCCACACTGTCCTTTAACACAATGCTCAGAGAAGGGGAACTGGCATTTTATGAAGGTCTCATGTGGCCTAAGGATGTGTTGAACTCTTCAAATCGTAGTGAACAAAGCTTGGAGAAAGGTGGCAGGAGAACCAGATCTGGGCATGTATCAGGGAAGACTTGCCAGAAGTATAATGTAGAAGCCAGATGAGGAGAAGCTGTGGCAGGGACAGCAGCACAGGCTGGCATCATAGAGGTGGGAGTGCGTGCTTCCACATGGACCGGCACTGTAGAGGTGGGAGTGCGTGCTGCTTTTGCATGGGCAGGCACCATAGAGGTAAGAGTGTGTGCTTCCACATGGGCCAGCCACCTTGGGTTCCTCTCCACTTCAAAATTCACCATCAGAGATTCTGTGTCAGATTTTAATCTACTCACATCATAAGTGCAGCTATAAAGATTTAATTATGAGATCTATTTTGTAGGCCAGAAAGGCTATCAAGGGCTGTAGTATTATAGAGAGGAATTTGTGTGTGTGTTTTTAAACTTGGAGATGCTATATGATAATGGTATATGGAATGTGAAATTATATTTTAATGGAATCATAAACCCTGACTAATGACAGGATGCCAGGATTAAGGTGCCTGAGGTGGGTAGGATATTCTGTTTTGCTGTCTGATCAACCTCCTTTGATAGTTGTTAGCTTGTGGGTACTTCCAGGCACTTACAGGTGGCTGTGGCTCTGCTGTCTTCTTAAATACTTGCTTCTCCAACATGCAGGTAACCTCAAGTTTATGCTCTTCCTGTGACGATTTTACCAGACAGTTTTATGTGTAGGTAAAAATAGCCTTGGCTGGGCCTAGTGGCTCACGCCTGTAATCCCAGCACTTTGGGAGGCCAAGGCTGGTAGATCACTTGAGGTCAGGAGTTCGAGACCAGCCTGGCCAGCATGGGTGAAACCCTGTCTCTACTAAAAATAACAAAAATTTAGCCAGGCATGATGGCAGGTACCTGTAATCCCAGCTACTTGGGAGGCTGAGACAGGAGAATTGCTTGAGCCTGGGAGGTGGAGGTTGCAGTGAGCTGAGATGTTGCCACTACCCTCCAGCCGGGGTGACAGAGCGAGACTCCGCCTCAAAAAGAAAAAAAAAAAAAGCAAAATATATTATTTTTAGAGTATGTACTTGGAAGAATATATTTATGACCTAATAAATTCTTAAACCAGTCACAGAAACCATAAACCTTTAGTGAAAAACCAGTAAGACTGTATTAAACTTAAGCATTTTATCATAAAGAAGATGGACAAATGAGAAGCTACAAATGGGGAGAAGATATTTGCAACACAACCAACAAAAAATTAGTAGGGAAAAGATGTAATAAAAGAAAAACACAAGCAACCCAATGAGAAACCAAGCAGAGCACTTAAACAGGCCCTCTGGTGAGAGGAAGGACAGCCTGTGAACCTAAGGCAAGAATTCAGCCTCATCAGCCACCAAGGAGGCACAGAGTGAGGCCGTGGTGCACCATCTGATGCTTTGGTACTCCTGCCAGAGCAGCAGGAACCCCACTCTCCTAATCAGTGCTGATGAGGATGTTGAGCAGCTGGGTCTCTTATGTGCCCCTGCTGGGAATGCGCGTTACATTTGGAAAACAGTTTGGTGAAAAAAGATGCACACAGCCAGCAATTTCCTCTCTTCCTTATGAGCCCTAAAGGATCTCAGCTCATTTGTATGAGGGGATGTGTGCAGGGATACTCAAGGCAGCACCGTTTCCAATAGCAAAGCTCTAAGAGCGATCCAGATAACCATCAATAAGTAGGTTGTAGTACAGTTGTACAGTTGAATGCCAGATAGCCCTAGAAATGAACACTGTATGGATGACTGTTAGCACCATGGATGCATGGATGACTCTTAGCACCTAACTTTAAAATTCTTTTTTGTAAAAATCACCATACAGTAAAAATGACCTTCTGGAAGGGGATGGGGAATGCAGTGCTAGGAATTTTAACACATGTGTAGATTTGTAGAATCACCACAGTCGGGATACAAACAATTCCATCACCCTATAACATTCCCTTGTGCTAGCTACCCTGTATAGTATACATTCCCCCAAACCTGGCTACCACCGGCCACACTAGTTTTGCATTTTCAAGAAGGTCTTGTAAATGGAATCACGTGGTGTAGACTCCTTTGTGACAGGCTTCTTTCACCCAGCGTGATGATGCCTTTGAGATTCATCCAAGTTGGTGAGTGCATTAGCCTTACATTCTTTTTTATCACTGAATCTTACTCTGTTGTACAAATGTACCACGGTTTATCTCTTCACCCATCAAAGTATGTTTGGGTGGTTTTCAGTTTGAGGTGATTATGAATACATGTGCTGTGAACATTTGTGTCCAGATTTGTATTTAAACCTACCCAATCACATGGTATATGTACTGTTTAAGAAACTGCCTAACTATTGTTTTCCAAAAAGTCTGTGTCATTTTGCATTCCCACCAGCAATATGTGAGAGTTCCAGTTACTCTTCATCTTTACCAGCACTTGGTATATTGGTATTTTTTATCTTAGCCAGTCTCATAAATGTATAGCAGTATGCCATTGTGGTTTCAACTTGCATTGCCCTAATGGCTAATGATGATGAACAACTTTTTATGTGCTTAGTTACCATCCGTAGATCTTCTTTGGTGAAATGTCTCTTGAAATCTGTTGCCTGTTTTTCAATTGGGTTGTTTGGTTTTTTTGGTTGCGTTTTCAGAGTTCTTTGTATATTCTGGATACAAGTCCTTTTTTGGATATGTGATTTCCATATTTTTTCTCATTCTGTAGATTTTCTTTTATTTTCTTAATAGTGTCATTAACAGAACACAAGTTATAATTTTGATAAAGTCCAATTCATAAATTTTTCTTTTATGGATTGTGCTTTGGTGTTAAATCAAGAACTCTGTGAATACTCCTAGGTCACAGAGATTTTCTGTTATTTCCTTCTAAAAGTTTCATATTTTTTCATTTTATATTTAGATTCATTATCCAATAAAGTGTGAAGTTTAGGGTGAGATTCATCTTTTTGCATATGAATGTCCAGTTTATTCCAGCATTATTTGTTAAAAATACTCTTTCTCCATGGAATTGCTTTTGCATCTCTGTCAAAAATCAATTGACCAGGTAGTGTAATTCTTCCACCTTTATTCCTTTTTTCTTTCTTTCTTTCTTTTTTTTAAATAGGGTCTCCCTCTGTCACCAAGGCTGGAGTACAGTGGCATGAACATGGTTCACTGCAGCCCCAACCTCCTAGGCTCAAGCAATCCTCCCATCTCAGCCTCCTGAGCAGCTGCAGGTGTGCACCACCAGACCTGGCTAATTTTTTTTTTTTTTTTTTTTTTTTGGTAGAGACAGGGTCTTGCCATATTGCGCAGGCTAGTCTCAAACCCTTAAGCTCAAGCAGTCTTCCCACCTTGCCCTCCCAAAGTGCTGGGATTATAGGTGTCAGCCACTATGCCTGGGCTCAACTTTATTCTTTTCCAAAATTGTTTTAGCTATTCTAATTTCTCTGCCTGTCTATATAAATTTCAGAATTAGCTTGTCTATATGTACAAGAAAATCTACTGGAACTGGAATTGCATGAAATCTGTGGACCAATTTAGGGAGAATTGATATCTTTACTATGTTGATTCTATGAAAGTGATATGTCTCCATTTATTTAGATCTTTGATTTTTTTCATCAACAATTTATAGTTTTTTGGCATATAGGTCATATGTAGATTTTATTAGATTTATACTTATTTCATATTTTTGGAAGTATTTTAAATAGATTTTTTTGTTTACAGTTGTTCATTGAAAAACATTGTCAGTATATAGAAATACAACTGATTTTTGTATGTTAACCTTGTATTCTACAACCTTGCTAAACTCATTTATTACAGGATTTTTTTTTTTTTTTTTTGTAGATTTCTTGAGTTTTTTAATCAATCATGTTGGCTGCAAATTGGGACAGTTTAGTTTAGTTTAGTTTTGTTTTGTTTTGTTTTGTTTGAGACAGTCTTGCTCTGTCGCCCAGGCTGGAGTGCAGTGGCGCGACCTCGGCTCACTGCAAGCTCCGCCTCCCGGGTTCATGCCATTCTCCTGCCTCAACCTCCCGAGTAGCTGGGACTACAGGCGCCCGCTACCACGCCCGGCTAATTTTTTATGTTTTTAGTAGAGACGGGGTTTCACCATGTTAGCCGGGATGGTCTCGATCTCCTGACCTCGTGATCCGCCGTCTCAGCCTCCCAAAATGCTGGGATTACAGGCCTGAGCCACCGGGAATAGTTTTGTTTCTTCCTAATCTGGTGCTACCTGTGCTTTCTTTGCGATTCATTATAGAAAAGAAACTTTTTGTTTCTCTTGTTGCCTAAATGCCTTAACCAGAACCTCCAGCACAGATAGAAGTGTTGAGAGTGGACATCCCTGTCTTGTTCCTGATCCTCGGGGAAAGGGTCCAGACCCTGTTACTTATGATGTTAGCAGTGGGCTTTTTGTCGATGTACTTTCTCAGATTGAGGAAGTTTCCTTCTATTTCTAGTTGATAGTTTTTCTCATTAATAGGTGTTAGATTTTATCAGATGCTTTTTCTGAATCATTCTATAATGATGTAGTATTTCTTTTTTAGATTCTTGATATGTGGTGTGTTACATTGATTTTTTTTCCACATTTTTGAATTATATAAAAATTTTGCAAAAATTCATCTACTATAATTAAAGCAAAGTAAAGTTCAAGAAATGCAAAGCAACCCAGTGTGGTGGCTCACACCTGTAATCCCAGCACTTTGAGGGGGCAAGGTGGGAGGATCACTTGAGGCCAGGAGTTTGAGACCAGCCTGGGCAACATAGCAAGACCCGTCTCAAAATTTTTTAAAAGTTAAAAAAAATGCAAAGCTGCCTATATTGCTTAGAAATACAGTAGATGTGATAAAGCTATAATGAATCACAAAGAAAGCACAGGTAGGAAAATAGGTACTTCTACAGCAGGAGCCAGAGGCTGGGCTCTGAAAAGACGCAGCAACCCTCCCAGTGATTTGATTGGCACATTCTGATTCTCTTACCTGTGCTTTCCTAAGACTTTGCTATATTGTTTCTTTTTAGATCTCAACTACTTCACAAATACTCTGTTATATTTGCTTATCAGTTATGTATGTGTATATTAATTAGTTTTTTAAAAAACTGGGGGTCTGGGGATGCCTGACCTTCCGAAAAATGGTTTATGCAGCCTTCCTTCCTGGGATGCCATGCTGACCACCCTCTTTCCTCAGGAATCTGCAGAATCTGCTGATCCTGACTGCCATCAAAGCAGACCGCACACGGGTCATGGAGTACATCAGCCGCCTGGACAACTACGACGCACCAGACATTGCGAGCATCGCTGTCAGCAGTGAGCTGTATGAGGAGGCCTTCGCCGTCTTCCACAAGTTTGATATGAATGCTTCAGCAATCCAGGTGGGCTGCTGAGTGCAAGCATGTTGGACCTAGCACGCTCTGCCACACCATGAGTGCGCCCTGCAAGCCCTTGTCCTCTCCAAGGGTGTCAGATGCTCTGGTTGTCTAGTGCATCTCTTTGTGCTCTTCTCTGCTCCTCACCAGCAACCCATCTTCCCAGCCTGCTGGCCCCTTGTCTTGATCTTCTCTGTGGGTGCTCCTTCCATTGGCTGTTAGTCTGCCCCTTCCTGATCACTCCCCTGGACTTGGGTACCGACCCAATGTCATCGGTCAGCCCTGGTGACACAAACGTTTGATTTTCATAGGCACTCACACCTTACCCTCAATGACAGCCATTCCAGCCCTCTGCACCATGCTGCTCACCCTCATACTCCCCATTCCCCCATCTCCTCAGCAGGAGCTTTTCAGGATCCAAGGTCGGGTTCCCAGAGCAGGCCCTCCAGCCCTCCCTGCCTGCCCCTCCGCCTCCCCAAGAACTCTTCTTCTTTAAACTGCAGCCTTTTCTTCCCAGTCTATGAGCCTTTTCTGGTTTTATTTCCAAATCAGTTGTAAACCACAGGACATCTTCTGAACTGCTCTCCTACCAATTATCTTTATGTTCTTGCCTCTTCCTTTACCTTGTTTCTGTACCTGCTGTGAAACCCCCAATCCAGGAGCCCTTCTTTTGTGCCCCCTCATGGGCTCTGGCCTTGCTTTGAGACAGACCAGCTCATCATATTAGGGGGCAGCTGATGCTGCCACCACCTCCACTACTATATAGTGGTGGCCCTCACTGCTACGCAGTCTGCCAGGCTGCTCAGCAAGCCTGTTTCTGCCTGGTGAGCAATCTTATTCCCCACAGCAATTCTTGTGAACTGTTCTACAGTTTCTATGCTCTGTTGCACTGTCTTTCCTCCCAAGGTCAGGAGCAAGTCCCATGTCCTACACCCGGCCCAGAAAGCTTAAGCTGGATATCTCCATCTCTGTGCCTCTGTTGGAGTGTCTCTTCTTTGTTCGGCATCCGCCTTCTCATATAATGGCTCTTGTCTCTCCCCTCAACCTGTCCATCTGAGAAATGCTTAGTACCTGATTGCTTCCAACAGAATTGAAATGGTCATGAAGCTTTAGGCAGAACAGGGAACCAAACAAAAATGTGTCTGTCTTTTGGAGCTGACTAGGTGTTGCAGAGAGTGGAAGTCCTCTCATAACCCCTAGGTCCTGATCGAGCACATTGGAAACCTGGACCGGGCGTATGAGTTTGCGGAGAGGTGCAGTGAGCCTGCGGTGTGGAGTCAGCTGGCCCAAGCCCAGCTCCAGAAAGACTTGGTGAAGGAAGCCATCGACTCCTATATCAGAGGGGACAACCCTTCCTCTTACCTGGAAGTTGTTCAGGCAGCCAGCAGGAGCAGTAAGTGAATCCCCCTCCCTGGGGCTCTGCGTCTCACTGATGCAAAACCTGGCTGAAGCAAGAAGTTGAAGAGATTCTCACAAATCTGTACGTATAATGTATCCAGAGATATCAGAGGGCACATCTACGTGAAAGTTTCCCACAGGAGTCTGAGATAAACGTTACTCTGTTATTGATACTGGCTCTTTAGTTGACTGTTGCCCTCCTTTATAAGATGAGGTCCTTTAAGCACACTAGATATCTCAATATCGCCACTGTAGTAATTTTATAGTCAGTGACAGGCCCACAGATTCCCAGGGATCTTCTGGTGTTTCAAGTTGATTGTGGCACCCACCTCTCTGATGTCCAGAACAAGCATTCTGTCTCCTGGCAAAGTCTTTTCTCAGGGAGGCGGCCTGAGTGTGGCTCTGCCCCCCCTTCCTTCTGAGCTACGGATCTGCTTAGTGAGCATAATCAAGACCTCCTAGACATTATCTGGAGTCTGAATTCCCAGGGAGACCTAACGAGAGGGTAAATGTGTCTGGCTGAGGACAGAATGGGAGGAATTGAGCCCTTGTTTAAAATTATCAGCTCTGGTTTAACCTATCTTTGTTTTCTGTCCTTAGACAACTGGGAGGATCTAGTTAAATTTCTGCAGATGGCCAGGAAAAAGGGCCGTGAGTCCTATATAGAGACTGAACTTATATTTGCCTTGGCTAAAACCAGCCGTCTTTCTGAGCTAGAAGATTTTATTAATGGACCCAACAATGCCCACATCCAGCAGGTAGGCCACGCCCCCTGGGCCTAAATCTGACTGGCAGTGCACAGCCCCCAGGGGGGCTCCTGAAGTCAGGAATTTGCAACCAATCTGGTCAACATGGCAAAACCCCGTCTCTACTAAAAATACCAAAATTATCCAGGCCTGGTGGCACATGCCTGTAGTCCCAGCTACTTGGAAGGCTGAGGCAGGAGAATCACTTGAACCCAGGAGGTGGAGGTTGCAGTGAGCCAAGATAGCACCACTACACTCCAGCCTGGGTGACAAAGCGAGACTCCGTCTCACAAAAAAAAAAAAAAAAAAAAAGAAAAAGAAAATTAATAGCTTCTGTCACCAATAATCAGATAACATAATGGGGAAGAAAACGTTCCTTTTTTAATAGGAATAAAGCCAAAACGTTTAAACCTTAACCGTAAATAAAACTTTTAAATAATTGTGGAGTCTGCCATGTAGATAAAATGTTACCCCTGGAAAATGTGATAAAGAGACATGAAGAGATAATGGAACGTATTATAACTCTATATTAATTACAAGTACACTCTTTTTGGAGGAATGCACACAATTTATTGAAATGAATAACAACGAAGTGGGCTGAGTGCAGTGGCTCATACCTGTAATCCCAGCACTTTGGGAGGCTGAGGTAGGAGGATTGCTTGGGCATGGGAGTTCAAGACCAACCTGGGCAACACAATGAGACCCCCATCTCTAAACAGGGAAAAGAAAAAAAAAATAACAACAAAATGAACTTTGAGCTTTCTATTTCCAAATGAGTTCCAAGTAGTTGTTGGGGCTGGGCCCGGTGGGTCACACCTGTAATCCCAACTGTGGGAGATAGAGGTGGGAAGATCACTTGAGCCCAGAAGTTCAAGACCAGCCTGGACAATATAGTGAGACCCCCATGTCTACAAAAAACTAAAAAATATTAGCCAAGCGTGTGGCATGCACTTGTAGTCACAACTACTTGGAAGGCTGAAGTGGGAAGATCACTTGAGCCCAGGAGGTCAAGGCTGCAGTGAGCTGTGATCGGGGCACTGCCCTCCAGCCTAGGCAACAGAGCGAGACCCTGTCTTTAAAATACAAACAAACAAGAAGAAAACAAAGGGGTGAAGGGCCTGTAATCCCAGCACTTTGGGAGGCCAAGGCAGGTGGCTCACTTGAGGTCAGGAGTTCAAGACCAGCCCAGGCAAAATGGAGGAACCCCTTCTCTACCAAAAATACAAAAATTAACTAGGCATTGTGGCATATCCTGTTGTCCCAGCTATTTGGGAGGCTGAGATGGGAGAATCCCTGGAGCCTGGGGAAGTCAAGGCTGCAATGAGCTGTAATCATACCACTGCACTCCAACCTGGGTGACAGAGTGAGAACCCTGTGTCAAAAAAAAAAAAGGTTGGAAATTAGGTTAAAGTTTTGAAAGGTATTAAAAGTTCATCATGTAATTCTGTAACCAAGTAAAATTCCAGATGAAAGAATAAAAGGTAAAAATTGAGCTTTACTTAAAGTTTTTTTAATGGGTATTTGAATTTTTGCATGAGAAAGGAATTTTTAAGCATGTAAGCAGTGGAAGAAAGTATAAAGGAAAATATCAGTTCAGCTAATACATAAATATTTGAAATATACCTGTAGAGTTTTATTATTTCTAAACATGGACCTAGTAAGTCTAGATGTAAAAATCTATCCCAAGAAAGTAGAAAAGATCCACATAGCTTTATCTATAAATATTTAATCATTGCAGCATGATTATGCACATAAAAATTAAAAGCCAATGTCTGGCAAAAGGAAATAGTACTTTTGTTTTGTTTTGAAACAGGGTCTCCTCTGTCACCCAGGCTGGAGTGCAGTGGCACGATCTCAGCTGACTGCATCCTCAACCTCCTGAGCTCAAACCATCCTCCCACCTCAGCCTCCCTGAGCAGCTGGGACCACAGATGCACGCTACCACTCCCAGCTAATTTTTGTATTTGTGATAGAGATGGGGTTTCACCATGTTGCCCAGGCTGGTCTCGAACTCCTGTGCTCAAACCGTCTGCCTGCCTCAGCCTCCCAAAGTGCTGGGATTATAGGCATGAGCCACTGCGCCCGGCCAAAAAATAGTTAAATAACAACATCCATCAATGGAGTATAATACAAATGAGGACAGTGAACAACTCTGGGATTTGGAATTGGCAATATCATATTACTTTTCTTTTACTTGCCTGTGTTTGCAAAGTTTTTTTTTTTTTTAATCAGTGATCGTGCAACTTTAGAAATTGCCCTTATAATCCAAAAAGTAGTTAAAATAATAGAAAACAAAGCCTTGCCCCCAATCCCCCTCTGGCTTAGTAACCGGATTCTCCTGAGTCAGAGGCACTGCGGGCCAGAGCAGAAGCTCCCTCATATAGGGCTGGCTGGGTGGGGCAGAGGTGCACCTGGCTCTTTACCTGTGTTCATAGTGGCCCCAGGCCTGGCAAGCTCTCTGCCTTCTGCTGTCCCCTGAGACAGGGGTCAGTGACCTTCAGCCTGGGGGCCAGATCCAGCCCATCGCCTGGTTTGTATACATTTCCCACAGTCTGGCATCAGCTGACTGCACCTACATAATGTCATTTAACTCATTTTCTCTGTGTTTCCTATAAATTGGCAGTAACAAGTCTTACATGGTTACCCCTTTGATAGAATACTTAATTTATGCATTCATCACCTTTTATTAAATATCAGCTGTGTGCCAGGGTAGGGGCTGTGGATGGAGCAGGGAAAATAGTAATCAGATTTCTGCCCCATGGATCATAAGATTCTTAAAAATACTGTGGTCTTTTACATGGTGAGTATAAGGAGCTAAGTGAAGCGGGGCAGGGATAGGAAGTGTTGGAACGGTGTGGGTGTGACAGTGGACATTCTGGTTTTAGAAAGGGTCCCTGGGTAGGTGCTGAGTCTGTACACCTCCGGGGAGGAGCTCTTAGAACAAGACAGCAGGGCAAGTGCAAGGGTCCTGTGAGGAGCATTGTGGGGTGCAGGAGCCCATGGCTGGAACACAGCCATCCAGCGAGAGAGGCTTGGGGAGCGATAGGAGAGGCAGCTGTTGATCTGTGGGTCAGGACTTCAGGGGCCATCATGAGGACTCTGGCTTCTGCTCTGGGTGAGACTGGACATTTTGAGCAGAGGAGGAAAATGATCTGGTATAGGGGTCAGCAGAACCCCTCTGGCTGCTATGCTACAAACAGAGCAAAGGACAAGGGTAGAGCAGGGAGTGCGTAGAGGAGGATGGTGCAGTGATGTCACAAGGGGTAGCGACAGCAGATAAAGTGAGCAAGGCAAGTGCAAAGCGTAGTCAGCTTCTGGATGTGTGTTGAAGGCAGAGTCAACAGTGTGTGCTGCCAAGAGGGGTGTGAGAAGAGAAACAGTGAGGGTGGGTCAAGGTTGGGGGTGTGGGGGTCACACTCACCAATGTGGGGACAGTGTGTGAGGACTGCCTGGGGGCATCAGGACTCATTTGGACAAGTCAGACCTCTAGTAGATGCCATGTGAATCTGTCCCGCTGGAAGTAGGAGTTAGGTTTTAGAGGAGAAGCCCAGACTGGAGATGTGCATGGGCAGCCTCCAGGGACAGGCAGCACCCATAGCTGCCACCCGTGTAGGAGAGCATGGCAGTGGGGGTGTGGGGCTGGGGAGGGGATGGGCGAAAGAAACCAGAGCACCCCAAAGCCCCACAGCAGGGAGATGGGGAGATGGAGAGTGGCCAGTGAGGTGGGAACAAAGCAGGCAGGGGTGTCCAGAAAACCATGTCTGCGTCTGTCTGGAAGAGCAGTGACCCTGGCAGAGGGGCTGGCAGAAGCCTGATTGGAGTGGATTGCAGAGAGAATAGGAAGACAGGGGATAGCTGTTATAGACACACAGATACTCCCTGAGAACTGTGCTCTGATGGGAAGCGTGGAAACAGGCTGACAGCCCCCAGGTAAGTTGAGGGCAGAGCAAGTTGGATTAGTTTTGTTTTATTTTATTTATTTTATTTTATTTTATTATTAGTATTTTTTATTTATTTTGAGGCAGAGTTTTGCTCTTGTCTCCCAAGCTAGAGTGCAATGGTGCAATCTCAGCTCACTGCAACCTCTGCCTCCCAGGTTCAAGCCATTCTCCTGCCTCAGCCCCCCGAGTAGCTGGAATTACAGGTGCCCACCATCACGTTCAGCTAAGTTTTCTATTTGTAGTAGAGACAAGGTTTCACCATATTGGCCAGGCTGATCTCGAACTCCTGACCTCAGGTGATCCACCTGCCTCAGCCTCTCAAAGTGCTGAGATTATAGGTGTGAGCCACCGTGCCTAGCCAGTTTTGTTTTATTTTAAACTCGAGAAAAGAACAGTGGTTCTTTAAGCTTGTCAGAGTGAATGAGTGCAGAAGGTGATGCTGATGCAGGGATTTGCTGAAACCCTGACATGGAGCATGTGGAGAGGGAGTCGGGGCATCCATGGAGCAGACCTTGGTGGCATAGGAAGGACATCCACAGACACTGTGCTGTGAAAGGCTCTCCTGGTTGTTTTCTCAGGAAAAGGGAAGCCAAATACTCAGCTTGAGGAATCGTTAGAGCTTTGAGAGGAGAAGGAGATATGAAAGAGTTGACATGAGAGATGCCATGGATAATGGCAGGTGGGGTGGTGCGGGAGGTGCCGTGGATGACGGAAGTAGGATAGGTAGTGTTGCCAGCGCATTTGATGTTAGCCTTTATGAATTTAGAGAGACCCATCAGCACTTTGGGGTTCTGCTGTCTGTGTTTAGCTCTGCATCCACAGGTAGGGAATGGGCAGAGAACTATCTCTGAGCAGGACTGAGAACAGTCAGGAGAGTCAAGGGTTCTGCTGTCTGTGTTTAGCTCTGCAGCTACAGGTAGGGAATGGGCAGAGAACTAGTTCTGAGCAGGACTGAGAACTATCAGGAGAATCATAGGTGAGTGCCAGGAGCTGGGCAGCATGGTCTGGGGCCACCAGCTGGGGCAAGTGCAGTGCAAATTGGGTATTGGGAATACCGGCTGCAGGAATTCAGTCCGGTCACTGGACTGGTGGAGTTGAGGTGCTCAGGATGGTGAGCTGGGCGGTGCTAGGTAGAGGAGGTACTTGTGGCAGGTTCCCAGGGCTGGCAGCTCTCTTCTGAGGTGTAAGGTATGGCTATAGCAGTGACTTGTTCTTGTGAACAGAACAAGGTCCCCAGATCATAGGAAGTCAAGTAAATTGCCGGAGAAGGAGAAGGATTTGTAAATGGCATCAGGAACTAGGGCTGGTGAGTGATACCTGACACAAGATTGGTTGTCAACGGTTTTTACTGAGGAGGAAGGGGAACAGCTTGGAAGCAGCAAGGAGCACAGCTCCTCAGCCCAGGCCCAGTAGGATGCAAATGTAGTAGGTGACAGTCGGGGCCTGAGAGGTGCCAGAACACAGGGTTATGTAGGAGCAGGCAAGTAGAAGTGCCCCCTGAGGTGGAGGAGGGTGTCCAGGGACTGGAAAGTCAAGGCCAACTTCATCTGGTCACTGGTGCGATCAGAAAGATGCTTACCACCCTAGCAAACAGAATAATACCTCTGCCATCTAGGCACTTGAAAGCAACTCTGGAGAAATCTTCCCATTGAAGAGTGTCTCAGTCGAGCTACCCTATTACCCATAGGTTGGAGACCGCTGTTACGAGAAGGGAATGTACGAGGCTGCCAAGCTGCTCTATAGCAATGTTTCTAACTTTGCCCGCCTGGCTTCCACCTTGGTTCACCTCGGTGAGTATCAGGCAGCAGTGGACAACAGCCGCAAGGCCAGCAGCACCCGGACGTGGAAGGAGGTGAGCTACGGGCAACTGCAGACAGCAGAGTGTGCTCTGGACAGGCATGCTCTCTGTGTCCTTTGTGTTCTGCTCGGTACTCTTCTGCCATATGGGATGAGCCTGGGTGCTGGTCTTTTGCCCAGGCAGGGGTCTGAACCCTTGGGATTCTCAGAGTCTCTAAGCTAGTGTTCGCAGTTGGAACAGAGGCCCCAGAGAATCCGATCTCTGACCAGTTGGCCCCCAGAGGCAGCCTCAATAGCATGGAATTATCAGTATTATAAGTATTTTCATCACCCTTTTTAATCATGTCACCTTATTTGCATAATCATTGTAAATGTACATTATTGGTCCTTTGTGGCAAATTGGTAAATTGTCTCGAGGCTCTCTGATAATATCAGAATCATCTTTAAGTAGAAAAAATTGTGAAAAAATATCCAAAACAGCATTGTTTAATGAAAGATTAAAATTAGCCTAAAGGTCCAATGTCAAGGCCTTTTTGTTTGTTTGTTTTGTTTTTGTTTTTGAGATGGAGTCTAGCTCTGTCGCCCAGGCTGGAGTGCAGTGGCGCCATCTCGGCTCACTGCAAGCTCTGCCTCCCAGGTTCACACTGTTCTCCTGCCTCAGCCTCCCGAGTAGCTGGGACTACAGGCACCCACCACCACGCCTGGCTAATTTTTTTGTATTTTTTAGTAGAGATGAGGTTTCTTGATCTCCTGACCTCATGATCCACCTGTCTTGGCCTCCCAAAGTGCTGGCTTTCAGGGGTGTGAGCCACCGTGCCTGGCTTTCTTTTTTTTTTTTTTTTGAGATGGAGTCTTGCTCTGTTGCCTAGGCTGGAGTGCAGTGGTGTGATCTCAGCTTACTGCAACGTCTGTCTCCCGAGTTCAAGCGATTCTCCTTCCTCAGCCTCCTGAGTAGCTGGGATTACAGGCGCATGCCACCAAGCCCAGCTAATTTTTGTTATTTTTAGTAGAAACAATGTTTCACCATGTTGGCTAGGCTGGTCTCGAACTCCTGACCTCAAGTTGTCCGCCCGCCTCGGCCTCCCAAAGTGCTGGTATTACAGGCATGAGCCACCGCGCCCGGCCAAGGCCTTTGTTAATGTATGCATTACAACTGTACCCTGTTGTTTAAGATGAATAGGCAGAGTTGCAGGAAAATATGTTGCCAATATTATGCGAGGAATATGTCATCATGCAGAATGTATGATGTGATTCCACTGTGCATATGTGAGAGATTTGTCAGGGGGCTGGTGTACGTATCACACATAGGAAACAGTGGGCCAAAGATTGTATCTCAAGTTAATGACACTGGCTTATGTGATTATTTTTGTTTATCTTCATGTTCTGCTTTCTCTACCTTGGGAACATGTGCTGTGTATAGAAGGTGGGAGAAGCAGGGAAACTACACGGCACACCCAGCTCTGTGGTGCAGGGTTAGTCCTGTCAGTTCTCTCAGGAAGCGCAGCTGAAGGGCCTCTCTGCACAGGAGAATTCTGTACTTCTCAAGGCTTGTTATCATTAAGTATACATACTGTACAGTACAGAAAACAAAAGTAGTCTAAAAAATTATTAAAGCAGACCGGGCACAGTGGCTCACGCCTATAATCCCAGCACTTTGGGAGGCCGAGGCAGGCACACAAGGTCAGGAGATCAAGACCATCCTGACTAACATGGTGAAACCCCGTCTCTACTAAAAATACAGAAATTAGCCGGGTGTGGTGGTGGGCACCTGTAGCCCCAGCTACTCGGGAGCCTGAGGCAGGAGACTGGTGTGAACCCAGGAGGCAGAGGTTGCAGTGAGCCAAGATCGTGCCACTGCACTCCAGCCTGAGTGACAGAGCGAGACTCCATCTCAAAAAAAAAAAAAATTATTAAAGCAAACTCCCCCGTGAAAACAACACTCAGATGAGATGCACTCCGATGGTCATTATTTTTTAGCCTTCCTTTTCAAACCCCAAACGTGGAATTCCAGTATGACTTTCCTGCCACCTGAACAAAACTCAGGGCCTAAGAAGTAATGCACGAACTTTCTTCTTTCTGTGGTCTCAAGCACCCCCTTGGCCTGCTGCAGATTATAAATGTCATATTTTTTCCTCCCAGTCTTGTACAGTTCATCCTGGAGTTAGCTACTTGTTCAGAATCCAACTTAAAACACCCCACTGGCTGGTATTTCTGCATTTGCAACTGTGTCCCTTGTAAGTCAGCTGCTGTGGTGCTGTGTCCTGTCTTGGGGACCCTCACGCTTGCCCTCCATCCCCTAGGTGTGCTTTGCCTGCGTGGATGGACAGGAGTTCCACCTCGCACAGCTGTGTGGTCTTCACATCGTCATTCATGCAGATGAGCTGGAGGAGCTGATGTGCTATTACCAGGTGACCAGATGATCTCTGCTGGTAATGCAGATGACAAGTGATGCCTAAATACTCCACACAGAGGCACGGTCATCCCCTTAGCATGTGACCGTCACAGTGCTGCATCTGCAGATTTGAAGCATGGCCCCAAGGGGAGAATTCATGTGTTAGACGGTCATTTATAAACTAAATTCAGTTGCCTTGTTAGCGATCCTTGACCTCATGGCTGGCTGGAATTTTGTGTTTTTAAAGTTCTCTCCCTCCTTTTGTGTTATTGGGCCTTCAGAAACTCAGTCAGTGGCTTGCATGCCGGAAACAACCCTTGGAGGGTTGCTGAGAATACTGGGCTGGTGTTGACAGAGCTCCAGTCCATAGCCTAGTTCCCCAGTGTGTAGCCCCAGGAGTCTGTTTATCAATTGCCACAGGGACAAAGCACGGGCAAGAGAGGGAACCCCACATGGACCCTTTGGAAGGGCGGGGCCCTGTGTGTTCATGCTGTAGGTGGGCTCTCTCGAGTGGTTGGTAGACAGTGATTTGTGTGTTTAGGGACCTGGGCTTCCACTTGTGGGATTCCTAGAGCTGCATGACACTGCAGGTATGGTTAGTCAAGGCAGATGAAGATGGGATGTGACTCTGCTCAGCAGTGTTACCATAGCCATGGAACTTGAGCCTCAAACCCCTCACTACATGAGACGTCGTCTGGAGGGGCTCGCACCAGCGCCAGAGTGTCTAGATATCAGGCTGGGTGTGATGGCTTTTCAATGAGAAATGCTTTCCCACCCCCAGAGAGGCGCCTGAGAAATGAACTGGAAAGCCAACAGGGAGGGTAATCAACCAGTACAGGGCTGACAAAAGAACAATTTAGTCAGCAAATATTTGAGTACCTACTATGTGCTGGGCATTATTCTCAATAATTGTATCAGTGAACAAAACAGAAAAGCCTCTATTTAATTGAATTGGCATTCAGCAAGGTTGGCAGGCAAGCAACAAACCTAGTGAGTAATTGTTTGAAGGTGATGAGTTATAGAGGAAAATGGAGCCGGTTTGAGGGCATGGAAGTGCCTGGATGGAGTTTCATGAAGGGGCAGTCAAGGTAGCAGCAATTGATGGGGTGACATTTGAGCAAAGACCTGAAGAAATAGAAGGATTTGGTCATGAGGACATTTGAGGGAAGGGTCAGTGGCCAGGCAAAGTCCTGAGGCAGGAGTGTGCTGTGTGTTCAAGGAAGGGGCTGGAACCAGAGATGGGGCAGGGAGGCTGATGGAGGGCCAGATCTCAGGCCGTTAGGAAGGCCACGGACTGTACTTGGGATGGATGCAGGGCTGACCTGATGGGGTAAAAGGATCATGGTGGCTCATGTGCTGAGACCACATACTTGAGAAGTAGGGACAGGAGCCAGGAGAGCAGCTAGAGGCTGTTGCAGTGGTCTAGGCGAGAAGGGACAGTGACTCTGACTAGGGTGGTGGTGACAGGGTGAGAGGTGATCAGGCCATCAGGACTGGGTATGTGCTTTAAATGAGCAGCCACCCTGATATGCTAATGCACTGATGTGGAGTGAGAGAGAAAAGCCCGGGAGAACTCCTTTTGGTTTTGGCTTGAACAACTAGAAATACGGAGTTATCACCAGTGGATGAGGGGAAGACTGAAGGTGCAGCGTGGGAGGGAAGGACAGGAATTACTTTTTGGACACGTGGTGCTAAGTCTTGAGCTGCCCGCTGCATGTTCAGGTGGGAGCATTAGGTAGGCAGCTGGAGACAGATCTGGAGCTCCACAGAGGAGGAGCCTAGCTAGAGCAGTGAACCCGGAGTTGCTGACATACAAGTGATCCATATCTATCTGTTTGCCTGCAGTCCCCTGGGGATGAGTGTAGGTGAAAAGACCAGACTGCCCAACAGGGATGGGCTGAGGAGGAGAGCAGGAGCAGCCAGTACAGTGGCAAGAAAACCCAGAGAGTGTGCTGGCTTCTGGATGCACTGGGGAAGAGGGAGCCGTCAGCAGGGCCAGGGGGATGCTCGTGACCTGAAGCTTGGGGGAGACTCAGCCTGATGCTGGCTGGAGAGAACAGGGAGAGGAATGGGAATGGTTGTTGTGAGGAGTCTTTGCTGCAAAGGGAAGTAGAAAAAAATGGGATGGTAACTAGCAGGCACATTGGGTCGAGAGGAGGTGTTTAGGACAGGAGGATAAGTGGGATGCTTGCTGAACCCAGCTGTGGAGAGCGAAGATAAGGCAGAAGAGAAATGAGGAGTCACTGGAGCAGTGGCCTTGGTAGGCAAGCAGGTGGGATGGAGCTACAGGCTGGGCAGATTCCAGACAGGAGCACAGGCGGCGTGTCTGTAGCTGATTGGGGGGTGCAGATGCTGCTGGCAGACAAGTATGCCACTGGGAAATGAGGTTGGTCTGAGAGTGGAGGGGGCACAGAAGGTGTCCTCCTTAGGAAAACAAGAGGCGTGAGGTGATCCTCTAGGTTGGGCCCTCCCAGGGCTGTGGTGGTTAGAGTAAAGGGAAAGGGTCACATGGCTGGGTGTTTCTCCAGGGTTTCTGCATGCTGAGCAGGCTGTAACCAGACATCTGGTCTTGTCCAAGGAGCATGTCAGAGGGGTGTAGGGCTGAATGCAAGGGGCTGGCCATCATAATTAGGGACACAGTGAAACAACAGCCACATGGCATCGTGAGTGGAGTTGAAGGCTTGTTGGAGCCAGGATCTCAGTAATGAGCTGTGGCAAGGGATTAAAACAAATCATTCCCAGACCCTGTTACCACCCACTTCCTACTTTTTTTCTAATTCTTTTCATAAAATTGGCAATACTAATTTGCACTTACTAAACTTGAAAATTGTAGTGCAGTGTGCCACTGGTAATTGTCAGATGATCCAATAAGTTGCTAAGTAAATGGCATGATCTGTAGCACAGTATGTACACACGTTTTCTTCACACATGCCTCCTCGGGATCATTCCCAGTCACCAGCACGGTCCCTGCGGCGTGGGCATGGGCTGGAGGGTGGCTGCCGGAAGCATGCAATCGCGCTGCCCCACGTGTGGCTGTTGGTCTGCTAGGATCGCGGCTACTTTGAGGAGCTGATCTCAATGTTGGAGGCGGCCCTGGGCCTGGATCGGGCCCACATGGGCATGTTCACAGAGCTGGCCATCCTCTACTCCAAATTCAAGCCACAGAAGATGCTGGAGCACCTGGAGCTTTTCTGGTCCCGTGTCAACATCCCAAAGGTACTGTGTGCTCCTGACAGTCTGGCAGCCGTGGCCACGTGTGGCACAAGCCGACCCTGGCCTCCTTGTCCAGGTTCTGAGGGCTGCAGAGCAGGCACACCTGTGGGCTGAGCTGGTGTTCCTCTACGACAAGTATGAGGAATACGACAATGCTGTGCTCAGCATGATGAGCCACCCCACTGAAGCCTGGAAGGAGGGTCAGTTCAAGGACATCATTACCAAGGTAAGAGGGGATACAGAGCACCGGCTCCTGTCAGCCTCTGCCAGGCCCTATTCTGGGTGCGGGGGAATGGGCAGGTGGGAGTGGAATGAGTGCCAGCATGCCCCGACGCTGTGTGTGCGTTCACTTGTTTGAGTCCACTACCCTCTGGGCAGATCGTGGTAATTCCATCTTTGAAGGGAACTGACACTTAAGAAGGGCAGGTGACCCGTCTAACGATGCACAGCTGAGCTGTGGGCAGGGTCAGGCCAGCATGCAGCGGTGTCCCTATGGCCCTGTGACCCTGCCCCTCCCACCACATCACGCCCTCGTGGCCAGGCCTCAGTTTGCTCTTCCTTCTGCCCTGTCAGCTCAGGGCTCCCACCCCCACTTCCTGTGGTTGTTTTTCACCATCGGACCATTTTTTTTTTTTTTTTTTTTTTTGAGACGGAGTCTCGCTCTGTTGCCCAGGCTGGAGTGCAGTGGCCGGATCTCAGCTCAGTGCAAGCTCCGCCTCCCAGGTTAAAGTCATTCTCCTGCCTCAGCCTCCCGAGTAGCTGGGACTACAGGCGCCCGCCACCTCACCTGGCTAGTTTTTTGTATCTTTTAGTAGAGACGGGGTTTCACCGTGTTAGCCAGGATGGTCTCGATCTCCTGACCTCGTGTTCCACCCGTCTTGGCCTCCCAAAGTGCTGGGATTACAGGCTTGAGCCACCGCGCCCGGCCCCATTTTTTTTTTTAATTCATGTCTCTCCCCAGCACCAGCGGCATTACCTGTCTGGGAGTGGGCCTCCATCCTGTAGCCTCACTGGGCTAAACCGGGACCCAAGTTCCTCTGCCAGCAGCCACAGTGTTGGGTGGTGTCGGGTTTGGGTGCCATGGTCAAATGAGCCCTTGTTATTTTATTTCCTGGTCTCTTAGAGAGTTCAGCGTTAGGACTCACCCTTCTCCAGCTCTGTATGTGAGTTTGGTGAAGGGGCTGGAATTCTTTATCCTCAGCCCCCCATCCCTTTGCATTGGGTATCTGCACTTTGTGCCATGGTCCTTGGGTAACTAACTGGTCACAGTCCACTATAACTGGAGTGGCACAGCAGTGAGCTGTGGCCTCGCTCATGCACCTTCTTTTCCACATGCAGCTACTGAGGGTGGGCGTGAGCGGCAGATGGGCTGCCGGGTGAGGCCTTCAGCCTCTGCCTTTCCTGGGAACTATTTGAAGGACCTCAGTGTTGAACACCAGGCCACATACCTGAACTTCTTGTTGGAGGACATCCATGTTACTGGGCATGGTGGTACATGAAGGTGGGGGCCTTTGATGGGGCGTCCCACCCTGAGCAGAGTCTGCAGGTTGCTGGAGGGAGTGCGGCCAGGCCATACCTTACTGTGGCCTGGCACACATGGCTGGTGCCTTGTAGATTTGTCTGTGTGCTGGAAAATCCATACTTGATCATTCCTGTGTGTACTTTATTCACATTTTAACTCCTCTGATATAAGGGTGTTTTTAAAAATTGTTGAGCCGTGGTGGAAGTGGCCATGCTTTTGTTTCTTAGTGGCATATAAAATAATAGCAGGACAGCTGAGACTCGCTGTGTGGGAGAGCAGCGTCTCTCATCTGGTGCCTGCAGGGCTGATGGCAGAGTCCAGTTCCTTGTGTGACTCATGATGCTTCTACTACAACCTGCTGTGTAGGAGACAGACACTGTCAGCTCAGGTGTGAAGGGGGCAGGAGGATACTCGCCAGTGCAGGGGCCCAATCAGATGGATGACATCCAATCTATATTTGGGGGCATACGATAGCAGGAATCCACTTAGCCACAGGGCTGGGCCAGCAGCAACCTGAGCAGGGGTGCTTGCTAACTCAGACAGGGGGGCACCCCAGCTCAGCCGTTTGCTGTCTCTGTCCATGTGGGTTAGGGATGTCACCGCTGTGAACCTCGTTATCCCATTGATACAATGGGCATCATGTTTCCCCCTGACCAAGTGGTCCATGGCAGGTGCCTGGCATCCAGTGGGCACTTCTTTCAGGTCGTGCAGCACAGCACGCCAGCCAGCTACCCTGGAGCTTGTGATGGAATCTGAGCTTCAGTTTTCTCTTCTTTTGTTTTATTATTATTATTTTTTGAAACAGTGTCTTGCTGTGTCACTCAGGCTGGAGTGCAGTGGCGCCATCTCTGCTCACTGCAACCTCCACCTCCCAGATTCAAGTGATTCTTCTGCCTCAGCCTCCCAAGTAGCTGGGATTACAGGTGCTCGCCACCACTCCCGGCTAATTTTTGTATTTTTAACAGAGACAGGGTTTTGCCATGTTGGCCAGGCTGGTCTCAAACTCTTGACCTCAGGTGATCCTGAGAGGTGAAGCCAGCTGGACTTCCTGGGTTGAGTGGGGACTTGGAGACTTTTTGTGCCTAGCTAAATGACTGTAAGTACACCAATCAGCACTCTGTGTCTAGCTAAAGGATTGTAAACACACCAATCAGCACTCTGTAAAAACGCACCAATCAGCGCTCTGTAAAATGGACCAGTCAGCACTCTGTAAAGTGGACCAATCAGCAGGATGTGGGCAGGGCCAAATAAAAGAATAAACCTGGCCGCCGGAGGCCACAGGCAACTGAGCTCGAGTGCCTTTGGGGTGTGTGGAAGCTTTGTTCTTTTGCTCTTCAAATAAATCTTGCTGCTGCTCACTCTTTTGGTCTACACTACCTTTAAGAGCTGTAACACTCACTGCAAAGGTCTGGGGCTTCACTTCTGAAGTCAGCGAGACCACAAACCCACCGGAAGGGAGAAACTCTGGACACATCTGAGCATCTGAAGGAACAAACTCCAGACACACCATCTTTAAGACCTGTAACACTCACCGTGAGGGTCCATGCCTTTATTCTTGAAGTCAGTGAGACCAAGAACCCACCAGAAGGAATAAATTCTGGACACAATCTGCCCGCCTCAGCCTCCCAAAGTGCTGGGATTACAGGCATGAACCACCACGCCCAGCCTTCCGTTTTCTCTTCTATGAAACAGGGATACTACCATGTCTTCTGGGGCACTGGCTGTCCTTGCTGACCGTGCTAGTGGGCACAGGCCTGCCAGAAAGGGCCACGAAAGCACATGATACCAGGTGTCCTGCAAGGGAAGCTAGGACTGCTGGTGCCCCACTTCAAGTCTGCCCACTCACATGGTGCCCTGCAAGAGCCTCAGTGAAATAGGCTTGTCCTTGGATGGTTCATCTCCTTCATGGGAAGCCCGAGGAGCCTTGTGGTTGGCGGGGAACCAGGTGGGGCTTTGAGGAGGTGATTTGCCACAGAAGATGAACTTGAGCCCCTACCCTCCACCTCAGCCCCACATCACATCCTGACCGCCCTCTGCTTTTTCAGTGTCTAGTTGAGATCCCCCCTGACCTAGCCCTGCTGCTGCTGAGTAAAGGGCCAAGCTGGAAGGCTGCCAGGTCCTACAGCTCCAATACGAGTGGACCCACAATGGCCTGTGGCGGAGTCTGGGGGCCCACCAGTGCCGTAGGTGGAGATTTGTGATGGGGCCAGGTCACCATTCTGCTCTGCATCCATGGTGGCAGGTACTGGGGACCTTGCTTCCTGTCTGGGTCAGAATCTTTGGTGACAGTGAGTGCTCTAGCACAAAAGGGAAAGAGAAGGAGAAAGAAGATACTCTGAAGTGATAAGCCATAGAGGGGTCATTAGAACCCTTTTAGTCAGTAGACCCCATCGGGCCCCACATTTTTGCCAGGTCACCCAAACCCAGCAGTGCTGGAGGCTCCAATGGTGACCACCCTGGGCTCCCAGCATGGCTTTAGCTCCAGCCGTGCCCTGTGCACACCCCAGGACCCCCCCCACACTCATGCGGACACATTCATCACCACTGGCTTAGTTCATGCCCATCTGGCTTACATGCTCCCTGAACAGAGCTGTGTCCAGGCCCTGGACATCGATGCCACAGTCATCAGGCCACCAAATGACATAGCTGGGGCCGGGCGTGGTGGCTCACGCCTATAATCTCAGCACTTTGGGAGGCCGAGGCGGGCGGATCACGAGGTCAGGAGATCGAGACCATCCTGGCTAATATGGTGAAACCCCGTCTCTACTAAAAATACAAAAATTAGCCGGGCGTGGTGGCGGGTGCCTGTAGTCCCAGCTACTCGGGAGACTGAGGCAGGAGAATGGTGTGAACCCAGGAGGCGGAGCTTGCAGTGAGCCAGGATCGTGCCACTGCACTCCAGCCTGGGTGACAGAGCGAGACTCTGTCTCAAAAAAACAAAAAAACAAAAAAACAATGACATCGCCCAGCAAGAGAATGGTGGCAAACCAGTGGGGAAAGTGCTGAGAGACACAGCAGCCTGGCTAGATCTCGAGACCCAGGAGCACAGGCACAGGGTCCACCCAGAGTGGTCCACTCTCTGCATGGGCTGACCTTCGGGTCTCACCCAGGGTCTGAGCACCACAGTGTTTCAGCTCAGAAGCTTTGGGGATGTCACAGGATGTGCTGTCCAGTTGGTTATGGCTCAGGCTGAGGCTTCAAAGGAAGGCTGGGGTAATCTTGCTTGGGTGGAAGCATACTGTGTTGTTCAGTTTTGCTGTTGGGCTTCATTCTGGCTGATTACACTTCATTCATTCATTCAGCAGATACTGGTTGAGTGTGGACCCTGCATCAGATACTGGTGTGGTTGCTGGGTTGAGGCAGGAAACCCTGAGACTAGCCTCTTAAGAAAAATGGTCGGTGTGTCAGTGCTGGGAGACAAAATACCTCAGGGATGGGAGGAGGCACCTTCACGGGCCATTGAGTCTTATAGAGGGTAGTCGTGGCAGGCTTCAGTAGTAAAGTGCCATTTGAGCAAAAACTGGAAGGAGCCCTGGGGTATCTGGAGACAGGGACAGGAACTGACCCTCAGGTTTGCTCCCCGCAGGTTGCCAACGTTGAGCTCTGTTACAGAGCCCTGCAGTTCTATTTGGATTACAAACCACTGCTCATCAATGACTTGCTGCTGGTGCTGTCACCCCGGCTGGACCACACCCGGACAGTCAGTTTCTTTTCAAAGGTGAGTCAGCGAAAACCCCAGGTAGAAGAGTGTACTGGGCTAGCTCTAACAAAGTCATCTGAATGATAGCACCTTGATAAAGAGCTTTTGAAATGACCCACAGCTAACTTGAAGATTCACCAGTGTATCAAACTGTTTTAGATTTCAGACACAGGAATACCTCCCGTATCATGCTTCACTTTATTGTGCTTCTCAAATTCTGTGTTTTTTAAAAGATTAGAGGTTTGTGGCCGAGTGTGGTGGCTCACGCCTGTAATCCCAGCACTTTGGGAGGCCGAGGTGGGCAGATCATGAGGTCAGGAGATCGAGACCATCCTGGCTAACACGGTGAAACCCCGTCTCTACTAAAACTACAAAAATTAGCCGGGTGTGGTGGCAGGCGCCCGTAGTCCCAGCTACTCGGGAGGCTGAGGCAGGAGAATAGTGTGAACCCAGGAGGCAGAGCTTGCAGTGAGCCGAGATCGCACCACTGCACTTCAGCCTGGGCAACAGAGCAAGACTCTGTCAAAAAAAAAAAAAAAAAAAAAGATTGGAGGTTTGTAACCCTCATTGATCAAGTCTGTCAGCCATTCTTCCAACAGCATGTGCTCACTTCGTGTCTCTGTGTCACAGTTTAGGATTTCGCACAATACCTCAAATTTTCTCATTATATATGTTATGGTGATCTATGATCAGTGATCTTTTTTTTTTTGAGACAGTCTTGCACTGTTGCCCAGATGGGAGTGCAGTGGCATGATCATAACTCACTGCAACCTTGAACTCCAGGCCTCAAGCAGTCTTCCCACCTTGGCCTCCTGCAGTGCTGGGATTATAGACTTGAGCCAGTGCACACAACCAGCAATCTTTGATGTTACTATTGTAATTGTTTTGGGATGCCACAAACCATGCCCCTATAAGAAGGGGAACTTCATAGATAAATGTTGTATGTGTTCTAACTGCTCCACTGACTGGCCGTGCCCTGGTCCCTCTTCCTTTCCTTGGACCTCCCTATTCCTTGAGACACAACAACATTGAAATTAGGCTAATTAATGGCCGGGCATGGTCGCTTACGCCTGTAATCTCAACACTTTGGGAGGCTGAGGCGGGTGGATGACCAAAACGGATGGATCACCCGAGGTCAGGAGTTCAAGAGTAGCCTGGCCAACATGGTGAAACCCCGTCTTTACTAAAAATACAAAAATTAGCCAGGCGTGGTGACAGGCACCTGTAGTCCCAGCTACTTGGGAGGCTGAGACAGGAGAATCGCTTGAACCCAGGAGGTTGCAGTGAGCTGAGATCGCACCACAGCACTCCAGCCTGGGCAACAGAGAGAGAGAGACTCCATCTCAAAAAAATAATAAATTATTGTGCATTTCAAAATAGCTAAAGGAGAAGATTTGAAATGTTCCCAACACAAAGAAATGATAAATGCTTGAGGTGATGGACATCCTAATTGCCCTGATTTGATCATTCCACATGTGTATATGTATCAAAACATTACATATGCCCAATAAATATGCACAACTATCATGTATCAATAAAAAGTTGGAAATAAGTAAAGACACCAGTATATAAGGAAAATATTCATATATTAACAGAAGTTTGGAAGAAGTGGATTCCAACCCTCATGGATGACTTTGGGGGTTCAGGACTTCAGTGGAGAAAGTCACTGCAGATGCGGGGGAAACAGCAGGAGAACTAGAATTAGAAGTGGAGCCTGAAGAAGGGACTGAATTGCTGTAATCTTAGGATCCAACTTGAACAGATGAGGAGTTGCTTCTTAGGGATGAGCAAAGAAAGTGGTTTCTTAAGATAGAATCTCCTCCTGGGACAGACGCTGTGAACATTGTTGAAATGACTACAAGGGATTTAGAATAGTGCATAAACCTAGTTGATAAAACAGCAGCAAGTTTGGAGAGGACTGAGATCAATTCTGAAAGATGTCCTACTGTGAGTGCAGTGCTGTCAAAGAGCATTGCATGCTGCACAGCAATCCGTTTGTCTGTTTTGTTGGTTTTGTTTTATGCAACGCAAGTCTAGAGTGGTCTTACATAAAGGGAAGAGTCAGTCAGTGAGGGCAAACCTCATTGATGTCTTATGTTAAGAAATTGCTGGCCAAGCGCAGTGGCTCACTCCTGTAATCCCAGCACTTTGGGAGGCCGAGGTGGGTGGATCACGAGGTCTGGAGTTCGAGACCAGCCTGACCAACGTGGTGAAACTTTGTCTCTACTAAAAATACAAAAATTAGCCAGGCACGGTGGGCGCACACCTGTAATCCCACATACTCAGAAGGCTGAAGCAGGAGAATCACTTGAACCCAGGAGGCAGAGATTGCAGTGAGCTGAGATCACGCCACTGCACTCCAGCCTAGGCGACAGAGCAAGACTCCTTTTGCCCAAAAAAAAAAAAAAAAAAAAAAGGGAAAGAAAGAAGTTGCTGGCTGGGCACAGTGGCTCATGCCTATAATCCTAGCAATTTGGGAGGCAGAGGCGGGCAGATCACCTGAGGTCAGGAGTTCAAGACCAGCTTGGCCAACATGGCGACACCCTGTGTCTACTAAAAATACAAAAATTAGTCGGGTATGGTGGCATGTGCCTGTTAATCCCAGCTACTTGGGAGGCTGAGGCAGGAGAATTGCTTGAACCCAGGGGCTGGAGGTTGCAGTGAGCTGAGATCAGATCACTTCACTGCAGCTGGGGCGAAAGAGCAAAACCCTGTCTCAAAAAAAAAGAGGCCGGGCGCCGTGGCTCACACCTGTGATCCCAACATTTGGGAGGCTGAGGTGGGTGGATTACAAGGTCAGGAGTTTGAGATCAGCCTGGCCAATATGGTGAAACCCTGTCTCTCCTAAAAATACAAAAATTAGCCAGGCATGGTGGCGGGCACCTATAATCCCAGCTACTCAGCAGGCTGAGGCAGGAGAATCACTTCAAACTGGGGTGGGGTGGAGGTTGCAGTGAGCTGAGATCAGACCACTTCACTCCAGCCTGGAGGACAGAGCAAGACTCCATCTCAAAAAAAAAAAAAAAAAAAAAAAGAGAAATTGCCACAGCCTCTCCAGCCTTCAGCAGCCACCACTTGGATGAATCAGCAGCCATCAACACTGAGGCAAGACCCTTCACAGCAAAAAGATTACAACTCACTGAAGGCTCAGATGATTGTTAGCATTCTTTAGTGCTAAAATATTTTTAATTAAGGTGTGTACTCTGTTTTTGTAGACATAATGCTGTTACACACTTAATAGGCTACAACATAGTATAAACATTAATTGGCCAGGCGCGGTGGCTTACGCCTGTAATCCCAGCACTTTGGGAGGCCAAGGTGGGCGGATCACGAAGTCAGGAGATTGAAAGCATCCTGGCTAACAGGGTGAAACCCCATCTCTACTAAAAATACAAAAAGAAATTAGCCGGGCATGGTGTCGGTTGCCTGTAGTCCCAGCTACTCAAGAGGCTGAGGCAGGAGAATAGCATGAACCCAGGAGGCGGAGCTTGCAGGGAGCCGAGATTGCGCCACTGCATTCCAGCTTGGGCGACAGAGCGAGACTCCGTCTCAAAACAAAAACAAAAACAAAAACAAAAAAACATTAATATGACTCTATTTATTGTGACATTCACTTTATTATGGTGGTCTGGAACCAAACCCCAGTGTCTGTGAGGTGTGAATGTCTCTGGTGACATTGGCGTCCACTGAATCACCCAGACAGTCCTCTTTGTGTGAGTATAGGTCTTTTGGTTCTAGGTGTCCAGAAGGTGCCTTTGAATGGTCCAGAGCTGGACCATTCAAGTGGATGGCACGCACATGCCCACCTGTACCCCTGCCTAGTGTCCCCATAACAAGCTTGGCCAAGTGCCTTGACAGTTACCCCAACTTGTTAGGCAGGTCAGCTGCCCCTGGTGAAGCCTTACCTGCGGTCAGTCCAGAGCCACAACAACAAGAGTGTGAATGAGGCACTCAACTACCTGCTGACAGAGGAGGAGGACTATCAGGTGGGTGTGCAGGAGGGAGCCCTGTCCTGGGTGGGCTGGGCTTCTCCCCTGCAACTGCCATTCTGTTCTCAAAGCAGGCTGCCTTTGCACAGGGGAGTATGCAGGCCTCACAGGACACCAGTGGATGTATGGGTAGGGGCCCTTCTAAGGCCGTGGTGATAGCAGCAGCCATCAAGTAACACAAGGTGTCTGCTCCATGTGTAGGCAGCCCATGTCACAGTGTCTCATCCCTCACAGAAAGGCTGTCTTCCTAGGGCTTAAGGGCATCTATCGATGCCTATGACAACTTTGACAACATCAGCCTGGCTCAGCGGCTGGAGAAGCATCAGCTGATGGAGTTCAGGCGCATTGCAGCCTATCTGTACAAGGGCAATAACTGGTGGGCCCAGAGTGTGGAGCTCTGCAAGAAGGATCATCTCTACAAGGTTGGTGGCCCGGGCCCCTGTTTCCTCCCACCTTCCTGCCTTGGTATACTTCCTGATGCTTTGGGGGTCACACCCCTTCCCTCTTGTTCCTGAGACCTGGCTCTGAGCTTCACCAGGGGATCCTCATAATGGGTGGGGGGATTGGCATTAAGGGGAGACCATATTTAGAACATAGGGTAAGAATTGGGAGTGAGTTAGAACCCCTTAAAAACTGTTTGCATTGAAAGACTTACAGAGTCTTAGGGAGTTGATTCTTTTCACGACAGTTACGTGTGAGTTTCACTCTACCAAAACAGTGTGGCAAGATTCACTTTTTGACACCTACTTTACTTCCTATAAAGATTTGGGAACTTACCTGTAATCTCAGCACTTTGGGAGGTTGAGGTGGGCGGAGTACTTGAACCCGGGAGTTTGAGACCAGCCTGGGTGACATGGCAAGACCCCATCTTTACAAAAAATTAGCCAGGTGTAATGATGGACATCTGTGGTACCAGCCACTCGGGTGGCTGAGAAGGGAGGATCACCTGAGCTCAGGAGTCAGAGGCTGCGGTGAGCTATGATCACACCACTGCTCCGTAGGCAAGAGTGAGACCCTGTCTCCAAAAAAAAAAAGATTTGAGGAATTTAAAAGCCTAAATTAAAATCACATTCAAAGGCCGAGCGTGGTGGCTCATGCCTGCAATCCCAGCACTTTGGGAGGCCAAGGTGGGCAGATCATTTGAGGTCAGGAGTTCAAGACCAGCCTGGCCAATGTGGTGAAACCCCATCTCTACTGAAAATACAAAAGTTAGCCAGGTGTAGTGGTGTACTCCTGTAATCCCATTTACTTGGGAGGCTGAAGCAGGAGAATCGCTTGAACCCGGGAGGCAGAGGTTGCAGTGAGCAGAGATCGCGCCACTCCACTCCATCCTGGGTGACAGAGTGAAACTGTCCCTGAAAAAAAAAAAAGGAAAAAAATAAATAAATCACATTCAAAACATTTGTTTCAAAGCTGGGTATAGTCCTGTGCACCTGTAGTCCCAGCTGCTTTAGAGGCTGAGGTGGGAGGACCACTTGAGAGGAAAAACAAACAGTGTGTTTTTCTACTGGTGAGAGGTTTCTTAGTATCATTCTCAGACCAGTTCTCAGACCAGGATCCGGGCATCTGCTGGACAGGTTGGGCTGCCTGGAAGAACCACCAAGACCCCGAAGGCATTAGCATCCTCTGCTTGGCCTGAACATCTCCCTGGGGGTGAGGTGGAGTTGTACAAGAGGGCCTTGTCTGTGCTGTGTTACGCAGCTAAGCCAATTCCCAAGGGCCCCTTGTGCCCAGAGACTCTGGACTTGACCTGAGGGTGTTACTTATGGAGTTGGCCTTGGGCATTCCTGAGTATCTTCCCAGGACACATGGACACCTGCCACCTCTTGTCTAGCACAGGGGCTTCATTCTCATGGCTCCTGGGCTGTGCCTGTTGGCTGGGACTCCATGGAGGCCTGTGATCCCTGGAATCAGTGTTGCATTGAGTTTCACCCTAAGTTGTCACCTCCAGTGTTTTGGACTGTTCTGTGACATCTAGCCATTGGTGACAGTGCTTGTGGTCCTTCCTGAGGTGCCCAAAGAGCCCCTGCAGAGGGAATGGAGAGGAAAAGCTGCTGAGGCTCTGAGACAGCACCTGGAGGTCTCTGGACCTGGCTGCTGGGAGGAGACAGCTGGGTTCAGACGCACCTGAGGAAAGGCTGCCTTTGGCTGGCTGATCACAGCCACTCTGTCCTACCCATGTTGTCCCTGTCAGGGGCTTAAACACACAGCTTCCTCAACACTCAGGCAGTGATGAGTGAGCAGGACTGTCAGTGCTGCCAGAGGCCTACTGGCCTTGCCAGCCACCCACTCCGAGCCACGTGGGTCCAGAAGAGAGTCTAGACGACACAAAGCCACAAATAGAAAGTGGCCGAGCACACGGCCGGGCATGGTGACTCACGCCTGTAATCCCAGCACTTTGGGAGGCCGAGGCGGGCGGATCGTGAGGTCAGGAAATCGAGACCATCCTGGCTAACATGGTGAAACCCCGTCTCTACTAAAAATACAAAAAATTAGCCAGGCGTGGTGGCAGGCGCCTGTAGTCCCAGCTACTCAGGAGGCTGAGGCAGGAGAATGGCATGAACCCAGGAGGCGGAGCTTGCGGTGAGCCGAGATCCCACCATTGCAATCCAGCCTGGGCGACAGAGTGAGACTCCATCTCAAGAAAAAAAAACAACAAAAAGAGAAAGTGGCGGAGCACGCTTCCCCCAGAACAGTGGCTGTCAGCCAGGAGTGCCTGTGGCCCCAGGGAATGATTGGTTGTCACAGCTTGGGGTGTGATGCTATGTATAGGAGGTAGAGGCAGGGATGAGGCCTATAAGCCCCGATGCGCAGGCGGCCCTGCAGACTTCCCAAGGTCAGCCCTGCCGCTGGAGGAGCCTGCCCTGAGGCCAGAGCTGAAGCCTCCTGGAGTCTTCCTGGAGGGGTGGCCAGGTCACAGTGTGTCCAGTCAGGACCAAGCCAGCCAGCAACAGAAAAATGTATTTCCAGATGACAGAAGTAGAATCTAAATGAAAGCTCGGTCAGTGGGGCCCTCCCACACTCACCAGTGAAGAGCGGGGGCCTGCGGAAGTACAGGTGTAGACTAGAGAGCTGGACACAGGGACGGGGACCAGGATCAGGCTGCCCAGAGTGGCATGAGCCAGGGTGGTGATGAGAGAGGAGGGTGTGGGAGAGCCTGACTCGAGCCAGCTCCGGGCCACAGGAGCAGGGCGTTGACTGGGAGCTTCCTGGGGGCTGCTGCTACTGGAAGTCCTCTGGGAAGCCAGTGAGACAGTCTCCAAGGCCCACAGAAGAGGAACAGCAGTGCCCACTTCAGGCACATGTGGAAGACAAGTCAGCAAGGGTAGGCTGGGCCACTGGAGGGCACGGCAGGGAGACAGATGAGCGGGCATCACAGGTCCTCAAAGCGGCGACCCAAAGGCACCTGGAGCTCTCACCTGCGGGTCCGAATCCTGGTGCCTTTGTGGGAACAGTGTGGGGCAGGAGGCAGCGCTCTGTGAGCAGCGTGCCGGCAGGAGAGACTTCTCTACGGAGCCGGCTCAGCACATCGGGGCCATGCAGATGTGGGCACTGGGCGTCCTCAGGGACCTCCCAAATGGAACTCAGAGGTGTGTGCTGCAGGCGATGGCGGGATGCGGAGCTGAGACCGCCACAGGGTATCCTGGAGAGCACAGGTCACAGTCAGTGGGTCATGGCCAACTCCAGGTGGAGTGGCCCTGGGCAAGTGACTACATGTTGGTCTCAGGTTCCTGGTTTCTGAAAGGGGTACTAATAGACCCTGCCATAGAGGGCCATAGAGGGAGTCAGGTGATCCAGCACTTGCTGTGGGGCTAGAAAATAAGAGAATGGCCACAGGAAGTGCAGGCTTCCTCAGGACTGGTCAGGTGCAGGTGTTATTCTATGAATGATATTGTCTTAGACAAATACATTTGCAAGGATGAAAATAGCAGTTAGGGGTTTTTGAGCCACTTGAAAGAAAAGCACATTGCTGTTTCTAGAGCAGTAGCTGTACCCCTCGTAACTGCTCCCCTGGTATCACACGCTCCATGGGCCTGAGTGCAGCACACCTGCAACCCCTAAACCCCCATCAGTGCCTTCCTCAGAGCAGCCAATGCACGCCCTCTGCCTTTGGGGCCAGAGTTCCTGTCTCCCAGGGCACCTGCACCTCCGTGAGCCACCTGTCCCCTCCACAGCCCCTGGAGGTGATACCTCCATTTCACCAGTGGGCAGCAGGGTGCAGGGAATGGCTCAGCCACGGGTCCAGACTTGCTCACAGCGCAGGAAGGCCTTCGTGGAGCCTGGTGCCACTCCCTGCCCTCCGGCCCACCTGCTACAGGCACAAGGCTTGTGCCTGCAGGACGCCCAAGCAACCATTTGTCTTGGCTGCAGGATGCCATGCAGCATGCTGCAGAGTCGCGAGATGCTGAGCTAGCCCAGAAGTTGCTGCAGTGGTTCCTGGAGGAAGGCAAGACGGAGTGCTTTGCAGCCTCTCTCTTCACCTGCTATGACCTGCTTCACCCAGACATGGTGCTCGAGCTGGCTTGGAGGCACAATCTCGTGGACTTGGCCATGCCCTACTTCATCCAGGTGATGAGGGAGTACCTGAGCAAGGTAGGTGCCGGGCCCCGGCTGCAGCTCCCTGGCCCCTGTGTGGCACAGCCCACCTCTAGCAGTGACTCTGGCCGCAGGTCTTAAGGGTGGGCCCCTTTGAGGCCAACCCAGATTCCCCAGGTAGCCCTGGCCCGCCTTCAGGAGTGGCTGCTTTCCTTGATGCTCAAGTGGTTTTCTGCCCAACATTAAGCCCCTCCAGAAAATCATCATGGGGAGTGCCCACTGGCAGCAGCCCTCCTGCAGACTCCAGCTGTGCAGCTGTCGCAGTGTGCACACTGCTGGGAGCACAGCAGGCATGCTCGTCCCCAGCCCTGGACTTCATCAGGGTGACAGTGAGGTGGCTGGCAATCCCAGCTCCCCGTGGAGCTGCCAGTGGCATCTGGGGGTGCAGCTCTTAGCATACCTGTTGGTGGTAGCTGCGTTTTGCTGAACACATAGTAGGAGTATTCACAGATGCACTGAATCTTTCTAACGGCCATAGGGAGGATGACTCTCTGCCTCACTGAAGTGACAGTACCTGATTGTAAAACTCTCCCTTGGTGTTGAAGTCCTAGGAGTCCCTGCTGGGACCTAGCTTTAGCCACTGTCCAGAGACCTGTGTCAGCAGTGTCATCTGGTACAGTTTGTTGTTTCTAACACTGAAAAAGTCACCTCCAGTAGCATCTACTTGCCCATCTAACCTCCTTCAAGCCAGATGGAGACCCTTGGAAGGCACTCATGCTGAAGCATCACTCAATGGAGCAAGGGAAGGGAGGGGCCTCCCAGGTGAGTGGGAGGTAGGAGGGAAACAGGAAGGCGAGCTCATGCTGCCAGCTTTAGCCTGGAAGTGCCTGGAGGGCTGCCTGCTGCCTGCAGAGCCTCTAGGCGGCTGCCCAACCCCTAGTGAAGGCCATCCCAGAGGCCATTCGAGGCCATCGCCCTTCTGTAGGACAGTGTGACCCCATCCCATCTGCATAGCACGCCTGAGTGAGAAACTCCCTGATGACTGTCAAGGGGTGGGGAGGAAGGGACAGCCCTGGCCACATGGCCTGAGATGCATGGGCTGCCAGGGGACATGGACTGGTTGGATTGACAAGGGCCCTGGTTCCCCCACCACAGTGGATGGCAGCTCCCTGGAGGCAGCATGCGTGGTGTGTGGTTTGTGGTATGCAGTGTATGGTGTGCGTTGTGCAGTGTCTGGTGTGTGCCTGTGGAAGCTGCTTTCACCATGATGAGCGGGTTTTCCCATCCCTCAGGTGTCTTTCCTGAAAGTAGTCTGTGTTCTGAGAACCAGCACAAGGAAAGAAGAATGTGTTTGAATCTCTTCCTGGCGGTAGAGGTCCGTGGGTTAGTGTCAGAGGAACTCAGGCTCACCAGGCCTCAGGGATGTCATCGCTGTGGGGGTCAAAGTACTGTTGTGGGGATCCCCCAGGACTTTGAGGAGCACATTCCCTTTCTGTTGTGGATGATGGAGTTAGCAGCCACTATCACCTTGGTCTGCACTGTGGCTGCCCAGCCTTGGCCCAGGGTTCCCAGACTCCACTGGCCCTGGCAAGTGGTGGCTGCTGCAGCACCTGCCCTGCTGCTGCCCACCTATTTCTGCCGGGGCAGATGAGACGCCTGTCATGGGGAGAGTTCAAGGAGAGGAGGGGGCTGGCAAGGGGTTTCCCAGTCAGTGGCGTGGGGCTGTGAGCTGATTGTCAGCTTGAGCTGGGGCCCAGCTGACTCCACACAGCAGTGCTGGGAGAATGATGGCACAGACAAGAAGCATAGTCCCTTCCTGGTGGACAGCTGGGCCCAGGGCCTTGTGGCTCATCTGGGAAGCTCAAGGGCCATCCCTCTGAGATGCCCCCGGCACTCTCCCAGTTTAGGGAGGGTACAGGCCTAGCTCACCCCTCACCCTAGGTGTCAGCGGGTGTGCCCCCTGCTCCCTCCTCACTTCTCAGCCCCCCAGACCCCAGCTCATGGGGGCACATTCTTATTTCTCTTTCTTACTCAGTGCGTTTGTGAGGGGATCTTAGCTGCACAGTTGCTGCCGCCCCTCCAGTGCAGTGCTGCCGCCTCACTCTCTGGCCATGGGTGGGGTCAGTGTCTGGTGAAGCCTCAGGGAAGAGTGAGGAGGCAGTTTGTCCTCAGTACTTCTCAGGTGAAGTGTCTAGGTGCCAGGTGACTTGTCTCTGAGAGCCACATGATCTCTGTGCTGGTTTGGAGGGGCGGGCAAACTAGACTGACTGGATTCAGCAGCAGGCAGTGTTCCCTGCACATGGCCCCAGCCCTGCAAGTCAGTAAATGGCAGTGTCCCTGTATCCAGAGGAGGACTTGGCCCCCCATGAGCAGGCCACACTCACAGCCTGTAACAACTGACTGCCCCAGTCCCCACTGGGAAGCTCTGGGGGCCCCACCTTTTGCTCCATCTCAGCCCAGCTACTGAGGCTTCACCTCTCCATGCCTTGCTGCATTATAAAAGTGCAAGGGGTGAGGACTGAGCCACTCCACCTCTGCCCATGTGCACCTCCTCCACTGTCATTCTCCTGGAGGCCCTGTGTCCTGACCTTCCACTCTACTTTCACCTAGAGGCTGGGACTGCACTCTGTCAAGCAGGTGCTCACATGCTTTCGCCTCCTTGCAGGTGGACAGACTGGATGCCTTGGAGAGTCTGCACAAGCAAGAGGAGCATGTGATGGAGCCGGCCCCTCTCATGTTTGGTAGGTGGCACCTGTAGCCCCCAACCCCCTGGGGAGGGAGCAGGGAGGGAGTCAAAGTCCCACTGCCCTTTCCTGGCTGGGCTTTGAATGGGGATGGGTATAGATGGGTGGGGGCTGGAAGGATCCCACTGGCTGCTGGGTGTGGAGATGTGTATGTCCAGGAATGTTGGCATGGCCACTGTCCTCCCTGCTGTAAGGGTGCCTGCCTTCTGATGGGGCTGCCTGCCTAGCTGTGAACTGCTGCTATGTCCTGCTGGGCCTGGCCCCTGGGCAACAAGACTGTTGCTGGTGTGTGCTGGGAGGAACTTTGCACCTGAGAACCTGCCCAGGGCAGCCTGGCTGTCGAGCAGACTGGAGAGACTGTGGGGTGCTGGGACACTGCTGGGCCAACACAGGCCTGAGGGTGTGGTGTGAGTGTGTAGCATGCTGGTGGGTCTCGAGCCTCCTGCTGAGTGTGTCCCTCCACCACTAATGCCATTCTGGTTTTTTTAGATTCTGATGGGCATGAATGAGACCCAGCTGATTGCACTAAGTAAGTGTCCCATTTGAGGACTAGCTTATCCTCTAGCCAGGCCAGCTTCTCTGGCTGACCACACACTCCTTGCCTCTGGGTGCCTACTCTCTCGGTGCCTCAGCTTCTGGGTGGTAAGGGCTGGTCCTATAGACCCTGCTTCCTGGGCCCCGGCTACTCAGGGTAGCCAGGAGAGGACCCCCATGGGCAGGAAGAGCTCTGCTCATTGTGGGCTTTCCCCCTCTGCAGGCCAGCAGCTGAGGTTGATAGCAGGCCCTGCCAGCTTCCCCTATGGATATGCCTCTGCTCCCAACTTCACCAGCCTCCAATGTACAACTTCTGCGTGTAGTGAGCGCTGTCTCCACCCACTCTACCTGCAGAGTTACTGACTTCTCCAAGGAGTGTGTCACTCCAGCAGCACAGGGGACCGCAGTGGGAGGCAGGGACACCTGGACAATATTTATTTTTGGTGAAACCCAATGATGGCAACCTCTGAGCCATCCTAGAGCCTGGGGAGGCCAGGGTAGAGGCTGACAGCGCAAGACCATCTTCAGCCGCCAGCAGGGTCTGGACTCTGGGCCCTCCTGCTGGAGCCAGGGATTCCTCCTGGGCGCCCCCGACTGGCTGGAGCTGCCCCCTCCAGGCCAGTTTGAAGACTACGTGAACACGTCTTCAAACACGTCTTGTTTGGAGGTACCGGACCTCATAACAGGACTCTGAGCCTCCTGGCAATCTTAAATATTAAAGTCGGTTTATCCAGGCAAAGGTGCTCTGCTTGGTGCTGGTGTGGGTGGGAGGGACAGGGGCCAGTTTCCTAGGCCCCGCAGTCCATTAAAGATTTGCTGGGCCCTCTGGGGGTGTGGGACCTGCGCCCAGAGAAGCTGCCTAGGAGAATACAGCCGCTTGCATTTGGGGTCTTTCCGGACCTTGTTCGCTGAACGCAGGAACTCTAAATCCGGGAAAGGTGTGGGTGGAAACCGGCAGGTGAGTCCCAGCCCGTGGCCGCTGCGGGAGGGGGACCCGGCGGCGTAGCCCCTTCTCACCGGCCACCCGCCTTCCTCCTCCAGCTTCGAAACGTTAGAGTTCCTCAGGGACTGGGCTAGCCCCACGTGTTTTCGGGGAGGGTATGCCCCTGGCCTCCGGGATCCCCGGGGATCCCGCTGCTCTCGCCGGTCGCGCAGACCCGAGGCCCGCTTCCCTGCGGAGCGGCATACTGTGCACCTTGACCCATAGCTCGGGGCTGGGCCACGACTCCGCTTCTCGCGGCTCCGCTTCTCGCAGCCCCGCCTCCCGCAGCCCCGCCCCCGCCCCCGCCCCGCCGCTCGCGGTCGCCCAGAGACTCGGCCATTGGCTGCGCTTTGGCCCCGCCCCTACGCCTGCCTCGGCGCGCCCCGCCCCGGCCTCAGTTTCCCGGCCCGCTTGGGGCGGGCTGGGGGCGGGGCCCGACTCGGACCACGCGGGGCGGGACCTGGAGCTGACGCGGCCGCCCCGCCCCCGGGACCATAACCGGCCGCTGCCGCCACCGCGGACCGAGCGCGGAGTTCAGGAGGCTCGGACCCGAAGCCGCCACTGGGCGCCCGGCCTCCCGCCCGCCATGGCCGCGCCCCGCGCCCCGCGCGCTCTGGCGGCCGCCGCGCCTGCGTCCGGGAAGGCCAAGCTGACGCACCCGGGGAAGGCGATCCTGGCAGGTGGGCCCCTCCGGGACGCGGACCCCACTCCCGCCACGCTTCCGGGTGGGCCCGGGACACTGAGGCCCCGCCCCACTTCCGGGTTGGGCCCTGGGTTGGGAGTCGTGGGGGCGCGGTCCTGGTCCCCACCCCGCGCGCTGGGGCTCGCCCGCCTGCCTCCTGTCACCCCCGCGCCTCGCCGGGACAACGGGGTGGGGGCATGGAGTCGTGGGGCCCCAGCCCAGGTTCCCGCGACATTGGCGCGGCGGCCGCGCCGGGCAAAGTCCGGGACGGGGGAGGGGCCCGAGCGCCAGCGGCCGGGCGGGGGTCTGAGGAGCCGGTGCCCGGTCCCTGCAGGCGGCCTGGCGGGTGGCATCGAGATCTGCATCACCTTCCCCACTGAGTACGTGAAGACGCAGCTGCAGCTGGACGAGCGCTCGCACCCGCCGCGGTACCGGGGCATCGGTGAGGAGGGGGAGGCCGCGGCGCCACGGGGGGCGGGTACCCAGGGCGGCGGCACCGAGGGCAGTGGGGTCCTGACGGCCCCCTCCTGCAGGGGACTGCGTGCGGCAGACGGTCCGCAGCCATGGCGTCCTGGGTCTGTACCGCGGCCTCAGCTCCCTGCTCTACGGCTCCATCCCCAAGGCAGCCGTCAGGTGAGGCCCGGCCCGGGGCTGCTGCGGGAGGAGGGTCTCGGCCGCGGCAGCCCCTCTCACCCGCCTCCCGCCTCCAGGTTCGGAATGTTCGAGTTCCTCAGCAACCACATGCGGGATGCACAGGGACGGCTGGACAGCACGCGCGGGCTGCTGTGTGGCCTAGGCGCCGGCGTGGCCGAGGCCGTGGTGGTCGTGTGCCCCATGGAGACCATCAAGGTGGGGAAGGTCCTGGCGAGGACCCCGGACACGCAGGGAGTACGGAGACTGGCGGCCGCACTGGCCCGGTGCTCCAGGGGCAACCGGCAAGCTGGGGAGGGTCTCCTGGACGCGGGGTGACCGCGGGGCCTTGGAGCAGGACGCCTGCCACGAAGGGCCATCCGTGGAGGCTGAATCTATGCTAAAGGCAGCCTTATTTACAAAATGCTTTTATAAAGCAGAAAACAAAATGACGCGTTCACTGCGAAAACTGGAAAAGAGCGGCAAACGTAAAGGTAGAGGCGGCTCACCAGGGCTGCCCTGTGTCCCGGAGCATGGTCCGTGTGGGCTGCCCTGTGTCCCGGGGCATGGTCTGTGCGGGCTGCCCTGTGTCCTGGGGCATGGTCCGTGTGGGCGGCCCAGGGCGGCCTTGGCTACACTGCTTCTGGGGGAAGAGCTGCAGCCCCAGTTTCCTCCACCCTGGATGGGCCCTGGGCCTGCCTGCTAACCAGGACCCACTCAGGTGGCTGCCGAGAACCTGCGCTCTTGCTTCTCTCTCTCAGGTGAAGTTCATCCACGACCAGACTTCTCCAAACCCCAAGTACAGAGGATTCTTCCACGGGGTTAGGGAGATTGTGCGGGAACAAGGTGCGCCACTGGACCTTCCCGCTAGGGCTCAGGGACCTGGGCCAGGGTGGGAAGGGCCTGCACCTCCCATCCTGCCTTGGGCTCTGTGCAGCACCCACCCTCCACACACACCAATTCCCAGCCAGGGCCTGAGAGGCTGCAGGGCAAACCCGTGCCTGCCTTCCCCCAGGGCTGAAGGGGACGTACCAGGGCCTCACAGCCACCGTCCTGAAGCAGGGCTCGAATCAGGCCATCCGCTTCTTCGTCATGACCTCCCTGCGCAACTGGTACCGAGGTGTGTCTGCACCACAGGGCCCTGTCTCTGCACAGGGCCAACTGCTCTCCTCTCCTTGAGACCACCCCTGGGCGGCGGGCACCCACCTTTTGAGGTGCTGATCCAGGCTCCTCCCGGCACCCTCTGACCACACCTTACTCCTCATATCCAGGGGACAACCCCAACAAGCCCATGAACCCTCTGATCACTGGGGTCTTCGGAGCTATTGCAGGCGCAGCCAGTGTCTTTGGAAACACTCCTCTGGATGTGATTAAGACCCGGATGCAGGTGCGGGAACTGGGAATGCGATGGGAAGGGGGCACCGGGCCAGAGCTAGCTGCTGAGCCCCTGCCTGCTGACGTCCCGCAGGGCCTGGAGGCACACAAATACCGGAACACGTGGGACTGCGGCTTGCAGATCCTGAGGAAGGAGGGGCTCAAGGCGTGAGTAGGGGAGGGGCAGGGCTATTGTTCCCACCTCAGACCTTTCCGGGCCTACCTGGCCTTCCTATGCCCTATGCCGTCCCCTTCAGGCCTCTGTGCCTCCCCCTTCAGCATCTGGGGATTGCCCTATGCAGGGACACTGCACTGACCTGCCTTCCTCTCTCCACCCCTCCTCCCACCCAGATTCTACAAGGGCACTGTCCCGCGCCTGGGCCGGGTCTGCCTGGATGTGGCCATAGTGTTTATCATCTATGATGAAGTGGTGAAGCTGCTCAACAAAGTGTGGAAGACAGACTAAGCCTAGAGAGGCTGCAAGGGGACCGCCCCAGGCACCTCCAGAGTGCCCCACCACCTTTGTCTCACATGATTCCAGTGCAGTAGTGCCAAAAGGCCCTTCCCACGTCCCTCGAGCTCTGTAGCCTGGTCTGTGCATTGTGGCTGTGAAGTCCATGTGTCCCCCCTGTGGTCTGTGTGACACCACCACTGTGTCCTGGTGTCTGGCCCAGCCATGGCTGGGTGTGCATCTGGCCTGTGACCCCATGCCCACTTGTCCATGTGCTTACTGTGAGCCCTGTGCCTGTGTTTCATGTTCTGTGTCATGTGACCTGTGCCCCGCCTCCCGGGGTGCCCGTGTGGCCTGGGTCCTCGGCCCTGTAGCCCTGGCCCGGTCCCAGTCCGGTGCCTTCCACCCTGCCCCGGCCTACCACAGCTGCCTCCGGGCCTCGGCCTGGCTTCACCGCATTCCAGGGGCTGCAGCCCCTCGCTTCTCCCGCCATTGGCCTTAACTGGCCCTCGGGCCCTCCCTCCGCCCGGGACAGGGTGGCACCCACCACTCTCAGGACCACCCTGCCAAGGCAGAATAAACCGGATCCTGTTGCAGTCTCCTGTCCTGTGTTTGTCCCTGTATGGGCCCATCTGTGCATGCGATTGGTGGCTGTGCCTCTGCAGGGGACCAGGCCACCTTCATCTGAGGACACTGCAGTAGGGGTACAGGGAAAGCCTAGTGTCCACCCAGGAAAGGGTAGCTGTGGCCACAGTGTTGGCTCCCTGAGAAGCCCAGCGCCAGGCCAAGAAGGATCTGGGCTGCACCCTGGCCTTCTCTGTGGCCTGTGGGCAAGATCCCATGATATGGGTAAAAGGGTGTGTTCACAAGGCCTCAGGGTGGCCTGGCAGAGAGCAGTGTTCAGAGCAGGGGGCTGGGCCCAGGAGATGGAGTCCCCAGGATGACTGCCTGCCCCTCACCCACAGGGAAGCTTAGGGAAGGGTTGGGTTGCCCAGGGCCTCTCCGGGGCATGCCCAGCTCCTGAGTGAGTGAAATGCGCTGCTTGTGGGGAGGAGGAGATGAGGGCATGCTGGGGCCTCTGAACTCCTGGTGGGGGTGTCTGGCCTCTGCTGCCCAAAGGCTCTGGGCAGGGGCCCTTCCTTGTTCCTTCACCCAGGCTGGGAGGCAGCTGCCCTGGGGCAGCAGGGAGTGGGGCTGCCTGGCCAGGGCTCTCTGGGCACCTCATGCCACAGCCATGAGCCTCAGAGGAAGGTGTCCCTCTGGCTGGAGGCCAGAGCTCTGAACTGGCATGTCCCCATGGGGCCAAGCTCCTCTTTCCACAGCCTGTGAGCCACGCGGAGGACACTCGGGCAGGATGGGATCAGTCAGTGCCCCGGCTGTGCAGAAAAACCAGCTTCCTGTCCAAGTGCCTCCGTGGGGGAAAAGTCATGCAAGCGTTTGGCTCGGACTGGAGAATAAGCTTTTGCCAGCCAGAAACTCCATGTGAACAGGTCCCGTCCCTGGGGAGACTGCCCTGTCCTGATGACCTCACACAGCACCGGATCCCTGGAATCCCGGGAATGTGCAGCTGGGGAGGAGTCTGGGGTGCAAAGGGCCAGAGGTGACAGCCAAGCATGGGTT